GTGAAAGATTGACAAAATAAGTACAAATAATATTGAAAACTATTTACGAAATGAGCTTGTCAGGCCTATGTCCACAAGCTATCTTCGAATTCACACCTCGAGGTCAGCATGTTATGCGGTTTACCCTTACGTCGTATGGAAGTACTTTTGCTGCTCTGGAGACCGTATAACACAAAAGACGTTATTACAGAAATACATTGGTTAGAGTAGGTACAAGCAAAAGTGTGACCACCACCGCGTGGGCCAGTCCGTGGCGTATGATTAGCTGATGCGCGTTGGTTGTGCTTGACTTTGCTGAGGATCGATGAACTGTTAGATGTTCAGTGACGCAACTGACGGATAATTTGTCTAGGGCTCAGTGACACTTCACTGGCTCTACAAAACAAATACCCACTGTCATTCAAGCTGAAGCAGCACCAACTGGACTCGTGCGGTTCAGTTATCTCAAGGCTATTCAACGTTGTGGTCTTGAGGTGGTTATTGGTGTAGATTGTCACTTGGCTTCTTGCTTCGTGTTTCCTGTCATATCCCAAGATTTTCATGCATCATGTGCTTCTTGTATCGTTCTTGACATCAGGAGTGAGCCAGGTTTTAGTTAAAACCATAATCTCTCGCCCAAACTAGATACATTGTTTCTGAACTCGCTTATCTCATTTCCAAGAGTTTTTATTGTGAAGACAGTTGCTTGGCTCTTTGCATGTGGATATTTGTAGGTACATCTATCTAAGGGTACATATAATAGGGCTGGTTTATACCAGATCGACCATCTAAGTGAAGGGTGATTCAAGGGACTTTTATTTCTGTACAACAGTCGCTGTGGTTTCGCACCGTATGCTTTTGAGAAGGATTCACTGTTTTAAGGTTAATCAGACTATTTTATGGTTCTTGTGGTTATTCTGTTTTAACTTTTAAAGTTAGCTGAAAGCGTTCCACTACATTCTGTATGGGCTCGAACACGACTCTATATGAGGGTAGTTTACTTTTGACAGTAGTTCGATCACGATGATTTCCATACTTAGTTAAGGATGTATGGAAACGTTTTGTCTAATGATCAGATTCCCTGACTAGATACGTCCTCCTGCGTAACAAAAACTGCGTGGGGGTGGGCGGAAACATTATTTTGTAGTGAAGATTGTCAGGAAACTATATCACTCACTAAATCAATTAAGTTGATAATTCGATCTAGCCTCATGGAAAATTACAATATCTTGCAATAAATTTTGTTAACTTTAAACATGGTTCTTCTTTCAGCTTGAGTAAAGTACCCTGACTATAGGTGAGAAGTGATGGTACATAGTATAATTATTCATCTGATATCTGAATAACATTCAAAAATACTAATTGTATGGTCCCTTAAACTTGTTAAAATTACTTTGAAACAATGTATATCTGTTTGCGAGTCACCGAATCTATCTTTGAGGACCTCTGTCTTGAAATCGTAATACTAGAAAATCTGCTCAAAATGTATGCAGCCGTCTCATCGATTTATAGCTGAGACACATCCTGTCACTTGAAGAATCAAGAACCAGAAAATAACAAGTGCTTTGTTGTTCGAAAATATACCAAACTAACGGTGGTATGTCAGCAACAAACAATCAGTCCCTTTTGTGAGTATGTCTATATTGTCGTTATCCCACACCTATTTGATAGAACTTGGAGTTTTTACAAGACTTATTTTTGTAGTCTTGGTCAAGTTTAACTGTAGAGACAAGTAAAGAAAATGTTGTTAATCAGAAACTACGTTTAAAGAAGATGGATCTTACAAAAATAAATCGCACTGTCATTACTTAGAATGTTTACAGCAACAGGCTGGTCGTATGATTGTTTTTCGTAAAGTGAGTAATAAGGAGTACATGTAAACTAGCTGCACCAAAGGTAAAAATGGTTTAATTGGACTTAAACTGTAGGTTATGATCCAGTTACTCCGTGGTTTGGTTGTTTATAACAGCCGTATATAAAAAGCGAATGTAAACAAACCCGTAGTTAATGAATACAATTAATAGGTTTTGCAATAAAAAGAATCATGATGTATTTCTTGAAAGTTGTTATAAAAATATGTGCAAAAATACTATATTAGGTGAATGCTTGTAAGTGGTGGATTTTATAGAAGTGTGGAGACGTCAGGCGTACACAGTGATTAACAACACTGTCGCACGAAACTGTTAATACGAGGATCCAAAATCCAGAAGTCTAGAATAAGGGTGTTCGAAGATGTATTTGGATAATGGTCACTGTGTATGCGACTTGTCCTTAACTGCATTCAGCTAGGGGTGTGCTCAGTAAAATTGGTGATGTCAGGATCAGTCCTGAAGATCTACAAAGCTAATTATTTTGAAGACTTATTTACCTCTACAAACATAATGGCAGGTCTTGTGATTGTAACTGTGTAAGAAGTGAGTTGAAATCTATCTTACAGGTGTAAGGACATATTTTCACCTTTTTGGCAACTGAAGTGAATTCTGTTGTGTTTGAGGTTTACAGTTAGGTTTTATTTGGTTTAAGTGGTGAACTAAATAAAAATTCTGGCTCTAATGAAAGCTAACACAAAGCTCCAGAAATTTATCTGTATAAGTTGCGAGGGTTTAGCGACCGTTGGGGATGATGGGTTTAAATCTTACAGCAATCTTTATTGATCACACCTTCACAAAGTATTTAGTAAGGTTTTTTAGTGGCCCTATATATGACTCCGATTGAATCGTATGTTGATCGCTACTGAAATATCCATCCTGGATATCCTCGTATAAAATCATGGACTTGAATGGAGTTAGTGTATAACGGAATTAAATAAGTCAAATACGAAAACGGTTTTTGAATATGTAAATTTCATGCACTCATTGGTTTGAACAGGCAATCAGGGAGACGAAACAAAGAAAGGAGAGCGAAGCAGATTGAAAAAGCAAAGAGAAGAGAGCGAAGCGAAATGACGCGCAGTGGAGAAGGCGTACGAGCCAAATCCTATTTAATTAAGCGTGGATCAATAGTTAAAGTCACGAACATAAGTTACAGACATGTGATGAATAGGATAAGAAGTGCACACACATACGCTCATATAAAAATAGTCAAGGCTGATAAGTGGATAATTAACAAGGTCAAAACGTGACTCGAGAATAATGGATAAATTGACCCGTTTAGTAGCTAGAATAAGTTATATGGGCTTAAGATAGTAACTGACACTACAGGTTGACACCCTTGTCACAGTCATCTTTCGGGTCCATTCTTAGCAAATAAAAGGAATACTTTACAAAACAGAGCTTTTCTTATTTTGTGGATTTTCACTTTGGGTTAACATACGTATCTTCAGTAAATAATATGGATCAATATTCGTTTCACCTTTTTATCTTTGGCTCGCAAATTTCTGGTTTTGACAGTTGAATTACGTTTAAGTTAAATAAAAGGATGAGATGCTGATGTTCATTGTTCCTTAGAGTATTACACCTGGGTTTATAAACATGTTCACTGTGGCCCAAGAGAATGAATGAAACCAAAAGTAAAGCTCGGTGTTCGTTAGATAAACATAATTCTACTTATGTTACAAATCCAATCATTTATTATTTAATACAGTCCAATAAAATCCTTTGCGAAAACATCTATCTGAATAAACATTTGGACTGCAATAGGTAAAAGCTGTTGCTACTTCACAATTAAAAACCTATGTTAAAATGAATAAAGAGAGGGTAATTTTCCCAATCCCGGTATGAAAGATGAGAAGCAGGCTGATAGGTTTTAGATTTTGATGCATGATTTGTCTAAAACTGTTGTGACGGCTTTGTGATGCACGATGAAGCCTCCAGAGGCTCTAAAAGGAGCTGAAAAGATCCCGTTCGTTCAAAACCTTTCATGATATTAAAGTGGCAATCGATGATTGTACAATTGTACAACTTTGCTACCTGCGGATTGGTTAAATCATAATGATGTTATAACTAATACTAAAAACTATAAACAGCCTGTTTTTTTTACATTTTTGACTCTTATCCGATAATCGCTTTATCTGCTTCTTCAGTCTTTCGATTTGAGACTATGGGGTTATACATGTTCGAGTGCCGTTAGTTGTATATCGTATTGCACCGTAATCAGGTAAAGGATGTGATGGAAATCAAGTGGCTTTCAAAGCAAGAGTGTACAATGATGAGACTACTCATGAGCAAGAGTAGTAACATTCATTAACCTCTGAATCACTATAAATGTAAGATACTATTAAAGCCTTAGTAAAGAGAATTGGGTCATTCAAGGGCACCAGAGACGTATGCTCAAATGACTCACAAACCATATTGTTATCTGTTTTATATCTCGTAAAGAACATCATTGTTGAACCAAAGAGTGAAACTAAAATACAAAGCAACCTTCAAAAAAAAATTATGATCGTAATGTTGAATGACCCAAACTGGAATAATTGAATGTACCACGTAGTATATTTGAATAGAAAAAGCTAAAAGGTTAATGAATTATGTCTTAAAGTATAAATATCAGTGAAAAACATTCAATATGATCATAAGAAACATATATCATATCTGAATAAGTTGTAAAAATATTAATAACAAGACATATATACACACACATACACAAAAGACAACGAATAATTTAGTGCGAGAAATGTCTTCCCAAAATAAACAACAATAATAATAATAATAATAATAATAATAATAGTAATAGTAATAATATACAACAATATGTTATACATAAAGTGAATGCACTAACAAACATAATAAGATCAAGTACAGATATATATGTATATATCATTATCACGAAATATTATCAGATTACTAGATAAAACAAATAGAATGAATGATTGATCATTATGAAATAAAAGTTGAAAATATTACATTGAATTAAAAAAAAATCCAGAAAATAAAACATAAAACTTATCATTATTATCAGTAAAGTGGATAGATTCACAGGGGTGTATAGTGTATAATAATTTAAAACAAGAAAAAAAAACAACTGTAAAATCTCAGTTTATTTCATTGAGGTAGTTGAACAATTAAACATTAGAAACAAAATTATTATTTTGAATTATGATCAGAACAATTAGATTTACAGGTGAATATTAATTTAGCATTAGATGTTGACAACAGTGTAGATGATGTTGATAATGCATCATTGAAAAGAACTAAATTATCATTTGCCATTATAGATTGAATTGAATTTCTTCGAATTGAGGAACATGTTAGTATGTTAGAAATGGAATTGAACCATCTAAAAGAAAATGCAAAAAAAATGATTTAAGTTTAAATTTTCTTCAGAGAATTCAATTTCAGAGGGACAAATAACAAAACTATTCATATTTTAATGTGCATGATCAGTAAAAGATATTATTGATAAGTGATTTGATAAATATTGAATTATTGACACAAAGTAAATTGTAGATGGATAGTATTTAAAATGTTTCCTATTCCTTAAGTTAGTTTTGAAAAAATTGAGAAGGAAAATTGATTTGTTGACAAAAATAACATAAAATCATATAATGAAACTATTATAACTAGACAAAAATAGTGGTATGACTGCTTGTTATAACTGCGGAAAAACGTCAAGATGCGACATGTTATTAATGAACAGGGATTTACGAAGGGAAGAATAGGGTAAGATTACAGATGAAGACTGTTGTGACCGGCGGTGTTCGAAATTTGATACTGATACATGGTGTATTACGCGCTAACCTCCAAACTGACTACTTGAGTGAGAACACAAGAGTAAGCGAGAAAGTATATTGGGCTACCGAATAAAATACACAAATACTCATATATATATATATATATATATATATATATATATATATATATATATATATATATATATATATACTCTAATCCTTAGGAAATTGACCGATTTCTTAGCCAATGAACCTCAAGACTTTTTTATATCAGTAAAGCCTTACGTAATAGATGGTGGATAGTTGAATTAAGCACTATTACAACATACCAGTGGACAACTGGTAATTGTCAGTTAATGATTTACCATTGAGTTGGTACATCATTACATAGCTTTGTGTGACAGATAATTAAACATATTTATTAAATAGCACATTCAGTACAAAGCAAACTGATAGATTATTGGGCAAGAGTAAAGGATATAAGGGGGATCACACTAGCAGCAATGAATCTTAGCTCACTTCAAGCTAGACCAAGATAAGTTATTGTAAGCAAATAGTTGGTGGGAAAAAATAATTTTACAGAAGGTACATAAATTCTGCATAAATAGTGAATATAATGGAGTATTCTACAGGTTTCCTGTCTGTAAATCGAAAAAACAACGACATAAAATCGTAAGTGTGAATGTAGAACATCGGTCTTTTTGAACTCTCATAAGGATGCAAAAAACGTTTTTTGTAGTGCCCATACTGTTCTTTGTTAGAGTTAGTTTTTACGGGTCTAAATTTTCCTGCTGATATTAAAAACTACGATTGGTCAGTCTTTTGGACAAAAGTCGTTTATTTTTGAATTTCTAGGAAAAACGTTAAAGTCATTTTGTCGATTCTGAATGTCACGTCCTCATAGTATGCTTTTTATCTACAACTGAGTAATTTTACAATAAAACAGTCGTCTTTCAAAGAGTACTCCTATCTTCAAAAAAATCCACTTTTTACTCACTGAAAACAAATGTGATAAACTTAAGGATCTGTAACTTTCTAATTGCCTGAACAGAAAACAAATAACTAACATTTTGTTTCTACCGCTAAGTTAGATCTAATACCTTAGATTTAAGAAGTTATAGAATCATGCAAAATTTCATTATAACAGCCTTTTGTGAAACATCATTTAAAAAAAAGTCTAATGCTATGTACCATAAATATAGGTTATTCTACATTTCTAACATATTCGAAGATTAAATTGTAAGTAGTCTTTACGTCAGATCACACAACATTGTATATTCTGCATAGACAGAGAAGATTCGAAATACTCGGCACTAAACTATTCAGTATCTATCTTTGTGTATGCAAATATAAAAGCACATTTATAAAACACTCAGGATATGTACACACGCACACGCATACCGATGAAATCATAGTTATTGTACAGAAAAAGAACAGTTATAATAATCACTTAAGAAGAAATAAATTAAACAAATTTAATTACCTTTTCAAGAGGTAAACATTTTCAGCTTGAAAATAATAATCTTTAGTATTGACAGATATTTTAATAATATGATTAGGTGGTACACGATAATGCTGTCGTTGTTGATCATGTTCAACATCCACTAATCTAGTTGAACATTCACCATACAGTAATGAATTAGTTGATATTAATTCAACAGTACACCTATTGGTTGATAACCATAAACGTGCTAATAATTTATGATGATTGTATGTGTTATAAAATTTTAAGCACATATCTGATAAAATGGTCCATAATTTTTGTTTACTACTTGTGCCACGTTTAGATAGACGAAATAAATAACCAGACATTTCATTCTAAAATTGAGAGAAAAGAGTCGTATAATTTGAACAAGAAATCGAACAATAAAAATCGGTGAGGTATTAAGTTTTAATATGAAATGATGAAATCAGAAAAAGTAAAGTATTTGACACAATTTATGAATAAATGTTTTTTCCTAAAAAAAAATAGTAAATTCAAAACCTGTGAACAGTGTAGTTCAATCATCCCAAGCATAAGACGGATATCGTCAATGGCAATTTAAGGAGAGAAATAAAAATAAGACAATGTGAACCGGATATATCACAAAACAGAGAAAATGGGAACTCATTCAAAAAACGAAACGTTTTGAAGAAATAAGGTCTTTCATATTTAATATCACCTTTGCAAGTCATTCAAACCGAACAAGTTAAATTCGATCCATATAGGCTCACAACACAATGTTAGCTCACAAATCTCTGTCTTTTCATTATATGTTTAATACAATTACCTATAAATTCAATTCTTATAAATGTAACTGGAAGTGGGCATTTGGTTTGCATATTGAAATCAGCATGGCTGTAGGGAAGCTAATTTCGAATCCCGAAAAAAATAATTCCATCTATTTTATTCTGAAATGCCGTCTTACTTGAACACAAGATAGACTCATAAGTTTACTGGTGATAATCCGGTGTTCATTTTTTAAATCGACTGTTTAGCACATAATCGAGCACGTATTTAAGTGAGTTTTGTCTGAATAACTTTGTTAACGGGCAGGAAACTCTTTGTTTAAGTATCGTTTTGTTCATGTTTCTTTACCATCAACCCCTCTCAGTAGATCCATTATATTTTTGCTTTACGCTGAAGTCTAAAAGGTTGTAACAGCTACTATATTCAAACATGCTTTCGATAGACAATTTTGCTTTTTTCAATAAATACTAATCTTTTATTATGAATGTTTATAGTGAACTAGAATGAGACTTTTTCAGAATAATTTTTAGAACTATAGAACTAGTTTGATAGATTAATATCAGGAAAATTGTATAGCTGTACAATTTACACAATCTGTCAAATATTTCACTTGAAATATCTCTTAACAACCACAAAAATGTATACTAACGTACTCCATGCATCAATCCTTAAGTTTTATTTTTTATTGATACACAATTGATTAAGGAATGTAAACTATTAAAATATTAAAATAAAAAATAAAAATAGTATGGCACAAAATTTCGAGTCAAATGAGTTATCGCAGCTTCTGTGTTATTTCATTCATAATAGGAAAAGTTTGATACATTAAGAAAGAGAGAACTGAAAGACGTAAAACACAATGACAACACTATATGGTTAAAAGTGGGAAAATCCCTTTACATGGATATTAGAGAATAATAATCAAATAAATATGCAACCAAGATAAATTTCACTTGTCTTAAAAACGTATGTTATAACAGGATTACCATTGACTTCTATTCCGAGCCACGCCTGATAACATTTTAACTAACTGAGTTGAACAATCTCCAGGGCTATATACAAGGAATCGTCATGAGTTACATAGATAATACAACATAACTATTCTTTATTCTATAAAGCTATGGTATGCAAAATAATCGACTTCCCATTTCTTCTGACCAGGCTCAGCGTTAAATGGCGTGTAGCATAAAAATCTCAAGCCACAGAATCTGATGTTTTACGATAAAAAAATCCGTCCATGCTCAAAGACACTGTTCTGAACTTTGGCACTGCCTACAGAGTATTATCAGTGTATACAGTAGCCAGACTCAGAGAATAGCAAAATACTTTTCGTCCTAAGGAATCAGTATTCATAAACAAGAAGAGCTAATCATATAGATGTTACACGTACCCAACATCATATGATCAAATTGAAAAAACCACAACATAAGCTCAGCACCAACAACGAATGTAAGTTTGGGTTATCTCTCGTCTTGCAGAAGTGGCTTACACTTCCATAGTGGACAGCGTTAGTAAAAGATATATTCACTGCATATCAAATAATTGAGATTTGGATAACTGATATACAACTGTACAGTAAGATATATCATCCAAATACTCTCAGTCAAAAAGTGTTACTTCGAGTAACAGAAAGAAATCATTATCATGCGCTTGTTAAAAAACATTTCTAAAACGTCATCGAAGACAAATCTAAAAGTGGACTGACAAACTAAGCAACTCCGAATAATCTAAGTGTTAGTTTGTAGTGATCAAAATAGCTGGTCATCTGATATAATCCTAACTAAAATGAATTTATAAGGGGGCATCTAAGATATTAATAACATGGCTAGTGACATATTTCTATAAACGTATCGTCCATCGCAAAGTAAGGAAGATAATGAAGATAGCAATACATTATTATTATTAGTGGACACAAATTAAAAGGATAGTTACTAAATAGAAATAGGTTAAAATGATGGTGTTAGTTATCAATAATAAAAATAAGCCTAATAATACCAAGAGGGTCAACAAAGCTGTTGCTGCTTTTTTTAAGACATATAGCAGTGACTTACTTACTTACTTACGCCTGTTACTCCTCGTGAAGGAGCATAGGCCACTCACCAGCATTCTCCATCCAACCCTGTCCTGGGCAATCCTTTCTAGCTCCGTCCAGTTGTAATTCATCCTTTTCATATCTGCTTCTATAATCCGACGCAATGTGTTCTTTGGCCTTCCTCTTTTTCGCTTCCCTTCAGGGTTCCAAGTTAGGGCTTGCCTCGTGATGCAGTTTGACGATTTGCGTAATGTATGTCCTATCCATTTCCATCGTCTTTTCCTAATTTCTTCTTCAGCTGGAAGTTGGTTTGTTCTCTCCCACAGAAGGCTATTGCTGATGGTATCCGGCCAGTGGATGTTGAGTATCTTGCGTAGGCAGCTATTTATAAATACTTGTACTTTCTTGATGGTGGTTGTTGTAGTTCTCCAAGTTTCAGCTCCATACAGTAGAACTGCCTTGACGTTCGTATTGAAGATTCTCACTTTGATATTGGTTGAAAGTTGTTTTGAGTTCCATATGTTCTTCAATTGTAGGAATGCGACCCTTGCTTTGCCGATCCTCGCCTTTACGTCTGCATCTGAACCTCCTTGTTCATCGATGATGCTTCCTAGGTATGTGAAGGACTCTACATCTTCCAGAGTTTCGCCATCAAGAGTGATTTGATTGCTGTTCTGCGTGTTGAATTTGAGGACCTTGGTTTTCCCTTTGTGTATGCTGAGGCCTACTGATGCAGAGACTGCTGCTACACTGGCTGTCTTCATCTGCATCTGTTCGTGTGTACGTGATAGGAGGGCTAGGTCGTCTGCGAAGTCCAAATCGTCTAATTGATTCTGAGTTGTCCATTGTATTCCGTGTTTTCCTTCAGATGTCGAGGTCTTCATAATCCAGTCGACCACCAGAAGAAAGAGGAAGGGAGAGAGTAAACAGCCTTGTCTGACTCCAGTCCTTACTTGGAATGCATCTGTCAGCTGTCCTCCATGCACTACTTTGCACTGTAGTCCGTCGTATGAGTTCCGGATAATGTTGACAATCTTCTCAGGAACTCCGTAGTGTCGAAGAAGTTTCCATAATGTCCTCCTATCTACACTGTCGAATGCCTTTTCATAATCAATGAAGTTGATGTATAGTGATGAGTTCCACTCAACTGATTGTTCGACGATGATCCGTAGTGTTGCAATTTGGTCTGTGCACGACCGATCCTTACGGAATCCAGCTTGTTGATCTCGAAGTTGGGCGTCTACTGCATCCTTCATCCGGTTCAGCAACACTCTGTTGAAGACTTTCCCTGGTATTGACAGTAGTGTAATGCCTCTGTAGTTTTCACATTTGCTCAGATCTCCTTTCTTTGGAATCTTGACGAGGTGTCCTTCTTTCCAGTCCATCGGCACTTGTTCCTCCTCCCAAATCTTTTTGAATAGAAGGTATAGCATGCTTGTGGTTGCTTCGATGTCTGATTTCAGTGCTTCAGCTGGTATGTTGTCGGGTCCTGCTGCTTTCCCGTTCTTGATTTGTCTGACGGCCATTCTAATTTCTTCCGTCGTTGGTGGGTTGACATCTATAGGAAGATCTATGTGTGCTGCTTCGATGTCCGGTGGATTCATTGGAGCCGGCCTATTCAGGAGTTCCTCGAAGTATTCCACCCATCTGTTACGCTGATGTTGAATTTCGGTGATTGGCTTGCCTTCTTTGTCTTTGACCGGCCTCTCTGGTTTACTGTATTTCCCTGCTAGTTTCTTCGTTGTATCGTAAAGCTGTTTCATATTTCCTTCTCTAGCAGCTTTTTCTGCCGTCGTTGCTAGTTCTTCCACGTATTTCTTCTTGTCGGCTCTAATGCTCCTCTTCACTTGTTTGTTTGCTTCTATGTATTCAGCTTGTGCTTGGACTTTCTCTGCTCGTGTTCGGCTGTTGTTAATTGCTGCCTTCTTGTTCTTCCTTTCTTTGATCTTGTCCAGTGTTTCTATAGAGATCCATTCCTTATGATGGTGTTTCTTTAGGCCCAGAACCTCTTGACACGTTGAAGTTAATGCTTCCTTGATGCCTTTCCAGTTGTCCTCCATACTAGTTTCTTCTTCTTTCAGTAGATCTTGTAAGGCTTGGAACCTGTTGTTGAGAGCTATCTTGAATTCATTGAGTTTGTCAGTATCTCGAAGGAAGGCTGTATTGAACCTTTGTAGTGCTGTTTGTCCACTTGTCCAGTTCTTTTTTAGCTTCAGTTTTAAATTGGCTACAACTAGGTGGTGATCTGAAGCTACGTCAGCACCTCTCCTGGTTCTCACATCTTCCATTGTCCTTCGGAATTTTTTGTTGATGCAAATATGATCTATTTGGTTCTCTGTAGTGTGGTCCGGTGAGATCCATGTAGCCTTGTGTATACGCTTGTGTGGAAATATTGTGCCTCCTATGACCAATTTGTTGAATGCACATAGATTTGCAAATCTTTCTCCATTTTCGTTTCTCTGTCCCAGTCCATGTCGTCCCATGATATCTTCATATCCGGTGTTGTCTATTCCGACTTTGGCATTTAGATCTCCCATCAGAATAGTTAGGTCCTTTCTTGGCATTTCTCAATGATTGACTGTAGCCGCTCGTAGAACTGATCTTTAATGTCGTCGTTGCTATCATTGGTGGGTGCATAACATTGGATAATATTCATTAAGATCCCCTCCTTCTTTGTTTTGAATGATGCTTTGATGATTCTGGATCCGTGAGACTCCCATCCTACAAGTGCATTTCGTGCTACTTTGGACAGCATAAGAGCGACTCCCTGAGTGTGTGGAGCATTGTCCTCTTCGTGACCGGAGTATAGCAGCATCTCTCCCGTAGCTAGCCTTTTCTGTCCAGCTTGGGTCCAGTGGGTTTCGCTGATTCCCAGTACTGCTAAGTTGTATCTCCTCATTTCCATTGCTATTTGACTGGTCTTCCCGGTTTCCCACATTGTTCGAACGTTCCATGTACCTATAAAAATTTTTGCTCTGGTTGTTAGAAGGGGCATCGGCCTCGTGGCTTCCGAAGGAACTCGGCTTTCACCATGAAGCGTCATAATTCTTCTAACTGAAGACCTTCTAACTCCCAGGGCAGAGTTTAAATGGTTTGAATAATTTTTTCTGGTAAGCGTTTTTTTAGCGAGTTAGTTTTCTACGGGATGGGGACGCTAACCCCATGCCCAACCCTCCTCCTTTACCCGGGCTTGGGACCGGCAGTAACCCTATTAGAGCTACAGGCGGAGTTATATAGCAGTGAGAAGGAATTTAAAACAAAATTATTAACGGAACTCACATCAATTGTATTCAGCAGTTTGACGGATGATATAGATGCATGTTGTCGCCAACAATGTTCAGCGAAACTATTTTGAAATGTAGGTATTAATGATGTAGGAGTTTGAGAGTTATGTTGAATATCAACAGATTCCGATTGACATTTATAAGTACTGTCGTTAGCTAGACATCGTTGCGTAATTTCTGTGAAAATTAACTTTGAGATAGATGAATCACGCAGACGAGTAACACCTGAAACTAAAAAACTTAACGATTAATGAACAATTATTTTAATGGTCATCGCAAGTGAAATGATGAATTTCGTGCTTGTAAGGGACCAAAAACTGAAGTTAAATTTTAAGAATAAAATGTAAACACATGGTAACAGTAAAATCTGTGTATATGTTATTTTTAAAAAGAAGTTTTTAATCATCGTAGAAACATGTGATATCTACATTGGTCGGTCTTGAAATTAGTGGTTAGCTACTACTCTTCATCACGATTCAAAGAACTTCGTCAGAACAAACTGACTTTTTTGTTTTGTAAATGCATTGGCTGTATGAGCCATTACCAAATACGTGAAAATACTGTCCGCTATTTACCAGAAACTGGGACAAAAGTAATAAGATGAAGTATTTCAGAAACAATGAGGTTAACTTAAGGAGGTAAAGCTTATTTTAAAGCTAAAGCTAGTATTATTGTACTAGTGAAAAGTTTTTAAAGGCTAAAATGATGGATGAACATTTTAAGATATTCAATTAGGTGAACCAAACTAGTGGTTTGAAGAGTTATCTAACCAAAGCGTAAGTGCTACAAAGCAAACTGAACCCAAGTTTTCATTCTATAACTGACTAAAATTTTGGGGAATAAGTCATCTGTTTAGTCAAACACACAATAACAGATCGGTAGAACATCGTTTTATCCGTTTAGAGAGGAAATCTGACAAAAAGTCACAAGTTTCATCACCAAAATAACTTAAATGTTCAAAGTAATCAAAACATAAATTTACATTCTGAGAAATTTACGACAAAAATATCGAGATACTAAGTATACACAGTTCAGTTTATCTGCACTACATTTTCCATTTAAAATGAATATGCAACATACCAGTGTATTTAGAAGATTGCGGAGCATGGTTAGAGAAAGCGTTGTCACTACGATGTGTGAGAGATTGTCTGCGTTTGTTGTATTGTTTCCCGATAGCTTAGAAATATTATTAATCCAGGCTTCATAATCCAATTCGTTTTGAACACCAAATATAAAACGTTTACGATGTTTTCGCAATCTGTAGTAACATTGTGACTTCATTTTTGAAACTTGGGAACAATTAGATGTTGGATCATCTTGATTAACAGAACATGAATTTGATATACCTGATAACTTACGAACTGGAGAACGACTTGTATATGTTACTACTAAGCCGAATTTTAAATACATCGAATCAGAGACTTGATTACTGTTGGTTTGGTTTTCATGTGAGATGTTTTTCTCAAGTATAACATTTGAAAGTGTTATGATAGCATGCAGCTAAAGTTTGATTTGAAAACAAATAAAAAGTAAAGAAAAACTTGAGATTATTATAACTGATGTTCAAATATATTGTTCCACTTTAATTAAGCAATATAATCCAGTTAAGGTGAATATTGCTAAAACGTGACCAAGGTGATTGGACTGATTACAAAGTCAACTATGTGAAAACATTTAGTGACAGAAATCATAATGCTCAAAAACTAATAAGAGTTGTGTATGAGTGTGACTAGTAACAGTATTGATCTTGGTCTTTATTTCAACGGCTATTTCACATTCTTTTTTCTTATTTTTTACAAGTTCGAAATTGAGTTAATCTAACATTATTTAGGTTTGTGGCAGTCTTTATTTCAGCTATAAAACGAACAAAGCATAGCGAAAAAGATATGTGGACATATTTCTACCAAACAAATGTAATGTATCAATGGTACATTAATACCAGTTACATATTTCATTAGTGTTATACATGCTAACGTTAAGAAAAATATTAATTAAATCAAAAACAGATACGTTAAAAACCCTTTGGATAAATTTCATTCAATTTGTTCGCAAATAACAGGAGGCAGTAATTCCCAAGGAAAAACTTAGACACTTGAATTTATCAAATTCAACATTTAGAACGGAAAATAGAAGTGAATTTATAAAGTGGAACTCTATTCAAGATACGACGTAAGTCTCGCCAACTGTTACAATACATAATTACATAACAAGTTTGTCTAAAGCAATAATTTAATCAATACTCAACTTAGATGAGGTCAATTTTCATTGCGGACAGATATCACTTGAGGAATCCCTAAAATAAATATCAACGTTTATTCAATCATGGACGTATGATGAAAAAACTACAATGTTTCTACAAACTACTTAAGTGGAGAAAGTAATCTTTCCATAGATCACTTCAGCTGTACAAGAATATTTACCATCCAAACTTTAACGAAAAACAATGTGATATAGATATGAAATCACGTAGGAGACAGAAGAACAAACGACTAACTGATACAATTTAACAAGCAACAAAAACCACATGAGAGTAACTTTCTGTATTAAATTAAGTGGTCATAAGAAAAAATTATCTGTATTTTTTGTTAGTTGTAAAGGTTTTACACATACCCCTAAATAAGTAATTTTCGTTCATGGAAATTTCATAAATCAACTTAATGGTTACAGATCTAAATTGCTCAAACTAATGGTGTTTTAAAGGATCCCATCATCATAACAACCATGTAAGAGAGAATTAGGATTGACAACCAGACTGTATGGATGATAATAATATATACAGTAACTTATTATTTGGTGGCAACAAATGTTGGATGGTGTTATGATACAAAAGTTAGATGCATGTAACCCTCGACCGAGGTTTCGGTTTGATTAGTATTCTTCAGCGATACACAGAACAATCTGAAGGGAGCTGATACTTTCCATATGACTAGGCCATTCAAACAATAACCATGATATTTATATTGACTGATCTCTTAGAAGTCCCCAATCTCATGTTCATTAGTTCTTTGTGACGATCTCGCTGTATTGATATGGCATGACAAACTAATTCAATGGGTATTTTCCTAAGGCTCAGGTTGTTTTATGATAGACTGTTTGTTGGTCAAATTATTATTTTTTAAACCATTAATCCAAAACCTTACATTTTCAAATTTGTCGACAATAAAAACGAGACTAATAAGTGAAAATAAAAAGAATAAAATTAGTCTTACTTTTAAGTATAAGCCAGTTACACCACGTATTCTACTAGTATAGATTAAACGATCTGTAAACAGAAAAACTAATCTAGGCTGAAATCCGCGTCGTGAATATTTATTTAACCAACCAAAATGAATTATTGGATGAGTAATTATGGAAGATTGTAAAAATGACGAAATAGACATTAAATCAGCAGATTTATCACTTTCGGAAGTGCCATTATGATGTACTTTTTCACTATTATTATGGTGAGTGGTGTTGGGACAAGATGAATAATGATCGTTTTCTAGGTTTTCATTGATACACTTATTTGGAGTGAACAAGAAATTCTCCATAGGGAATATAATTATTGACAGCTGCAGTGTTAAAGCAACTCTTTCACATCGGTCTAAAGTATTACTTAAAGATCGATTCGATAGTATATAATGTCCGAAAATCGCTATAAACGAAAAGAAGTAATAAATTAAAAGAAAGAAAGGACTAGATAAGTATTAGATAATTAGTGATGGAGATAAAAATTGATACAACTAGTTTAATAAAATGAAGATATGAAATGACATATTAGTCTTTTGAGTTTATCAAAATGTGAAACGGAGGTGTTTTATTGTTGCTTTTATTTCGCCGAGTCATGTTACTTGCGATGAAATAATTTCGAGGAAGTCGTTAAGTGCTCTAACCCTTAAAGAATAGCTCTGATAATATATATATGAATCGGGTGAGAGATTTTATGTACTAGCATCGAATGTGATGAGTTGAGCACAGTACAACACAGAACAGGTTTGTTCCAAACACCCGACTGAGACTAAATTACCTGATGTATTGCAGTTCATTTGATTCTTTCAAAGTGAAATACGTTTTGGAAAGATCGGACTAGAACATATTTTTGTTCACATTTGATTAATCTTGGCAACAGACGCTAAATAGTATTAAATTTAATCACAAAATACTAACAATATTCTAGTTTATTCCTTTTGTAGAGTAGACAGGTCATTGAAACAAATTTCTCATATCCCTTTAGTCGATATGTACATACTTAATTATTTATTTCCTGTCAAGAAATTCAAAACTGCTGCTAAGTAATACATAAAATGTCGTAATTGGAAATCAAAATAATTATATTTAACAAAGATCATAGTTTAAAATACTGTAATTAATTTCTAAAGAACAATGTTTATATGTAATTTAAAGGAATCATAATACACAAAGAACTTGTATTAACATTAGATGTTTATGGTAAGAATATTAAAAAGTTATACAATTCAAACTTTATATATATATATATATATATATATATATATATATATATATAATTCATTTGTAATGGTTGTATCTGAACTCAATAGCTAAGTGGATAACGCGATGGGGTTTGAAGCAAAAAATACAGGGTTCGAGTTCTGGAGTAAATATTCACTCTGGGATGTAGGTATATCCGGTCGACGAGTCCAAAATAGGACAAAACGCCAGTCCTAGGTTCAACTAATAGCCACCATCCATCTCCGCTTATATTATATGAATATTTTATTAACCGTTACATTAAATGTTACTTCAAGATGAAAAAGAGGAAAATCTCAAAAGACTATTTTCAGAGACTAGAAAAAGAATGATTATGACTCTGACGATAATAAAATTTTACTGAATAAATCGGCTACAAAAACTAAAATATATCACACACACGATTCAAAATGAAATGTAAAACGTCTTACCTTTACAGAAAACTGAACTTGAATGAGTTGACATTTGATTCACTAGAGATTGTAACAGGTTACAATAACTACGAAATCGTCGACCAGGCAACAATAAATAATGCCATAAGGAACCAACAGAAGATAATCGACTTTCTAAATTATATAATACTTTCCGTGTGATTGCTGAAGAAGTTTCTAAATTCTTATCCTTGCATTGATTATTATTCGAATGCAGATATTTATGAATAAGTGACTGAATATTTTCAGTATTATCATTATCAATATTAGCGAAATTGTTGTTATTTAAATGATAATTACCACTCTCTTCATCTATGTTGGAATATGATGAAAGAATATCAACAAATGCTAAAAACCATAATTCTGTGAGTAAATCAGCTGAATTTCGAATCCAAATTTCATAAGACTAAGTTAAAAAAACAAGTAAACAAACAAAAGAAAGTCATCAATATGAATGTTTATGATCATATAAATATTGAGCCATTAGTTACAATTGAACAAACACATCTAAGCCTGATGATAATTCCAAGACAGCTTTAATTAATCAGAATATATAATTATATATGCATATCTATGTAGTTCTGATCCAAATAACACATTGTATAGAGAGTGTAACTAACAACAGTCAACAATATATACAACTAAGCAGAGTAGGTGAACATTAATTGTACTAAACAACCAAATGGCCGCGAAGAAACAGAATGAAAGAATAATTACTGATAAATTATATAAACAAATAATTATGCCGCATACAGCGGCGCGGAAATGCCTATAATAACACCGACCATGCCTACGTGAGACAAGGTTTACCAATTTACTTTATTTAGTCTATAGTCGGTAATTGTGCTGAATGAGCAGTGAACAACTATATATTGATCAGACTCAAAAAAATCTCGAATTTTCGATACTATTATTATGATTTTCTGTATGTGCAGTAGCTTTGTAGTGCAGTAAAGTTAACTGAAATATCTAAATGATGGATGGTCTAATCTTTCCATAACACATTCATTTATTTTTGAATTAGTGAGGTAAAAGAGTATGGATAAAACCTCGAATATTTTGCCATAATATTAATGTATGGTAAAATACTTTATTGACTGTTAGGCCGAGTTGTATCGAGATATTCAAATATTAGATGGTTTTATATTCCAATATCAATTATGATCCTGAAAATCAACGATAAAAAATATAAACGTTTAATAATTAAAATCATCAGTTTAGTTTTTCATTATTATTAATATTGTTATTTACACTCCCTTGAATTGAAGCCTGTTAATTTCCTCTTTTGCGTTGGTGTGAAAAGTAGTGGGTCTATGAAAATCTGCGGCAAATCCTTTATTGCTTATGACTAGCCAACTTCAAATATTATCAGCAAATGTAGTTACTTGACGGTAAAAGAATTTTATTTTTGCGTTTGTCAGAATGTAATTTAACTTAAAAGGACTTAAAACGACATTCTGTCTACATAGTGGCAAACCTTGCAAAGTTTGTAAAAATGGTGCAGAATGTTAGGATTAAACTTGGGACAATTAACCCTAATTTATACTGAATAGCAACAAACTGATTGCCAAAAAACTGTTGTTTTACTTCATTGGAGCAGAACTGATGACAATGAAATAACGGTCACACTAATCGTTATGAGTTAGTGATGAAACAATCAAATTAACCAAAGTCACCATCGTTTGATAAAGGTCAACTCAACTGAAGAGATGATGTAAAAGGAACCAGCAATCGGTTACCAACATGTTTTGAATTTGTAAATTGCACAGTCGACTAGAATTTATAATAGAAATTAGATAGACAAATGTTATTGATAGTTTGAACTGTAATAAACCAAGAAAACACAGTGGTTAGGGACGCTACTTTTGATGAGTAGCTCTTTTTAGTGCTTACTTGATATATAAAATATATAAAAGAGAATGAGTAACATACTAAATAAATCAACCTAATAAAACAAAATTAATGATAATTGAGTTTACCTGTACTTGATCTAATAAATTCATTAGTAAATCTGTAAAACAACTAAGACTATGTAACTGTTTCAATGTTAAATGCAAACCATATTTTTTATGTTTATGTTTAAAATAAGGTGAAACATTACAGCTAGAAATTTCCGAACTGGACAATTGTTCATTTTTACTAAATTTTAATACGATATGAGACATAGATGATTCAGATGAATTGACATAACCTTTTGATGTGTAGTTCATATCATAAAGAGGTGATTCTGAAAAGTTAAAAGGTAAACATTGAATACAAATTTGTTGAAAAATAAGATAAATACATAATAATAGTACAAGAAATTAATCATACTAAGAGAAAAATCAAATGTAAGCCACTGAACTTAGTTAATTATATTATTTATGACAATGATTTCAATGGCTAGAAATAAAGTTATTTATGGTTAAGCTAAAATCCTCATGCGTGTAAAAGAGCATCGTATTTCGAGAAGAACGAAAATAAATTACATAGTCAGTTAAACCTGTCAGGGGATCAAAAATGTGATATGAGATACCAATGTAAAAATAACTGAATTATTTCGTCTCGTCACCTGCAAAATTTTCTGTGGTAAGTTATTTGTGAAAACAATTAGACGTGTCATAAGTGTTATATATAAAATAGTTGTAAATATGTCAGATATATTCCGTATTTTCGACAAGGAGTTGATCAACGTCGTTGTTGTTCACCACTATTAGATGCATATAGAGTATTCTTGCTACGAGAATTTTTTCTCAAATCGATATAATAAATCAACTAGTCAGTGTTATATTGAATGATTTTGAAACAACTAATATAACATAACTCACCACAATCAACTGTCAAACATTCAGATACAGACTCCACATGGTCATCATGTGATTTTAATGGTAAAATATTTTTCCCAAGGAGTTTTACTTTTGTTATTAAGCGTTTCAATGTGGATATAGTTATTTTTAGTTGATGAAGAAAAGATGTTTGTCTATCGATTATAGGTTTCAGGATTGGCAATAGACGAGCTTGTAACCAGTGAGTTAGTGATTTTGCGTTGAACGCATTAGCAGTATCCAATGGAGCCTATAAAAATCCAAAGAAAAACCTTAAATTTAAAGAAGGTAGTGTACACTTAAAGTTTTCCGCGTGAAAGAGTAAGACGTCTATCAACAAAGAATCAACATAAAAGTTTATTGACAAGAGGAAATCGTGGGGAATGTTATACATTTCAGGTCGCCTGTTCACTTCAGTATACGCGTTAAACACTATGAATGTTTGCATTCAAGCTTTTCACTATAAGTTTAAATTTGGGAATGTATTCTTTCTTTAAAATAATGAATGTTTACAAATGTAGTTTTATATGTAATCAAATGGATTGATTTACAATACAGATAAGTAATGCAAAATTTAACCAACGCAAAGTAGACAACACAGTTCAGATGTAGATTTTAATGTCCAAAGTCAATATTTTATCAAGGAATATAATAAATATAGTTGTTACGAGATGTAATATGCCATTAAATTAAATAAGTTTATTTTTATTAGAGTTATTAAAATAAAGTTTGGATAAATTGAAACCAGAGCCTCATTTGACTAATAATTTAAGATGTAACTATTGCATGTTAAATAAACTGATATTTTGACAAAGCCTTTTACGTATAATGCTTATAGATATAAAAGTAGGCTGATGACTGAAATGGAAAAAGATTTAGTAGGAATAAGGTTTTGAACGACTAGAGTCTAGGTTGCAGATACGGTATTCTACCAACTAACGTGTAATGTGAAATTTGTCGAAAAACATTTCTTCCTAATTACCAGGATTCTAATGTGATATAATTTATATTTTTCTACAAAAATAAGAAAAAAAGACCAATAATTTCAAGAAACCTTTTTAACAAATATAATGGGATTTTTGTATCATTAAAAATGATGAATTGATGGATAAATATAATATCTTCATCTGGAAATTCTTACTAGTGCTTATGATGCAACATGTTATGCAACTGGACACTTTCGAATCACATTAGAATTTAGACCATTAATTTATGATTGGATCGTTTACACTTCCAATTTTGGTCACTTTCTAATTTAGTGTGATCTTCATTTAATGTTTTCTGTGCATTACTTCCATTTTCTGTCAGCTGTTTGGTGTTCCATGCTTCTCTGGTTGATATATATACAGAAAGTTTTTCAAACACTATCTTACCTAAGATACTAATTAGATGTACAATAGAGCAATATATATATATATATATATATATATATATATATATATATATATATATATATAATTATACAATGAAAGGGTACTATAGCTTTTTGCTTAATAAACATGTTACCATTATACATAAGATACTGGAGACAGTGAAACTATTATATCCGAGCGAAGATTAAATCACGAGTAACTTTTGAAACCAATTAATTGACAAATATTATCTGTACATTCTTATGGTATAACTATCCAATAATTAAATTATGTATATTTATATTTCTCTTATTATAAGCTTCATTTTGACCTATAATTTATTATTGTACGATTTACTGTCCTTAAGCTATGTTCAGTTTATTGACTACTGTCTCCTACGTCCACAGTCACTTTTTGGCTTTATTGTGTACAAATGTTATTTCCTATTTTATGGTGGGTTGCGGTCTGTTTGATTTTTATATAAACCTAGTATGTTTGAAATAAATGATTCGATTCGATTCGCATAGTGGAAGCTGGTATTGGTGTTCCTGACTCAAGTGGACGGGCTAGGCGGACATAAGACCAATAAGTACGCTAGGCTGCTCATACCGGTCGAACTTCATTGGTTTTAGCACAGTGCTACGATTGTATAAGTCGTATTTTGATTGGCGGATAAATCACATGATAAAAAGCTGGACATAAAGTCATAACAGTAACAACATATTTATCATCAATAATATCACAACATTCAATACTTACCGTCATCAAAAATTCCAAGTCATGATTGTACATAGATTCTGTCAGTAAGACTTCTTTAAAAATATCTAAACACCCTGAGGTAATTTTCAGTAACTGTAAAGAAAATGATAATTCAGCGTAATTCTTTATGTTGGAACTATTCCCCATCATTTCAATAAATACAGTCAGTGGTAAAAAACATTCTTTAGAAAAATATAATCAAGATAGTATCTATCAAAATATTACTAAAAAGTAAAGTAGACATGACAAATTAGTGACTAAAGTTACACATTTCTACTAAGATATAAATTATAAAACGTAGACATTTTATGTAAAACATATGTCTTTATGTACATTATTAAATAAAAATGAGAGTAAAAGATATTTTTAAAAAAATCACTTCAGAAAACAGGTTCAAAACGTACTTTGTTGAAATCACACAACTAAATGTTCGTGTGGATGGAGTCTCAGTAAATGAAAAAGCTCGTTTAGTTAGTACTTAACATTGTTTTGGTTTTTAACTGGCAGCACCTTTAGTATGCAGTAACAATGAGATTGATTGGTTTCCTGTCTATAAAAACTGAGTATCAATTTGCTCATAAGTCAGTTTGATTACATTTGTTGAGGGTATTGAGAAGTGTTTTTTATTTTTAGACAATAAAAATTAATTATTCTGTACATAACTGCCACGATTCATCATAATATGACAGCAGAATAACTATTGATATTTTTTTCACAATTAGTTAATTGAAGATGATCGATTTAACTGATAACCAAATATTTTATATTCTTATTTCTTTAGATTGGCTAACTATGAGCTACACCCTGGGATTTTTCACCTCAACTTTCTTTTAAGTCTCTATTTTATTCGAAGTAGAGAGATTAACTTTTCATAACTAAGCATGACCACGAATATCAATAATAGATTGAAAACATGAGGTTGAAAGCGTGTAAATCATTCAGTTAAATTCTAATACCAAGTTAAATTGTTCAATAGTTAACTGAGACATCGGATGGAAGATAAAGGCAGTATTATAAACTGTATGATGGTCAGAGAAAGAAATCCATTCTAGAAAGAAAACACTTAGATTCTTCAATTAAAAACTATTAAAGAATACATGATAAGTTGTGTAAAACCAGAACTCATTTTAAAAAATAAGTTGTACGTATCATATACCGCATAGAAAACAGAACGGAGTGGATAGCTACTAGAACAGCCGGTTAGTGGACTAGCATAACGGTCATGATTTGATCTAGTTTGCTGTCTATTTGCTCTAAGTTGAACAGAGTAAAAAGTGGATGAAAAAAGTTCACTAAAATATTTGTAATACGAAGCTGTAAATCAAGACAAATTTGAAATGAGTTTCTTTTCTTACCGAACTGCACACCGATATACTGTTACAGTAAAAAGGTTGGAAAAAGTAAGCTTTATTAAAATTTGTTATCGTTTGAATATAATGGGAATCTATTGATACACACTTCAGTTTCGTCATCAGGTCAACGGTTTAAACTGACTAATGAGAATGATAAGAATAACAATACACTATATTTCAGAACACGAAGAAAATGTTATGGGAAAAAAAGGAATAATTGTTTATGAGGACACCAAAAACTAAGGTTAATTACAATTTATCTGCATAATATCTGCAAGTGAACAGGTAATCAACAACTTTGAAGCAAAATACATTGACTAGTGTTTACTTAGCTTATTTATTATTAAATGTAACCGATAATTAAAAATTCCTAATAAAATATTTTGATCTTAACAGTTATCTTTTTCAGATATAAAGTACACGAATAACAATAAATATATCCATTACATAATTTTGTGGTAACTGAGTTGGCATGATGAATAACATCTTGGTCCATTGAGATGAGTTAATAATTAACTAATAACAACTTATCAATAAAAAGTCTGATAGTCTGTAAAATTTTAAAGGTAATAAGCTTTTTTCTTCATTTAAATGCGACGTAATCTACGATTAACTATCATATACAAACAGTTAATTCAATGCAAGCAGAAATGAACAATCAATCCGCATAGATTAACTGACCATAAAACGAAGGAAATCAGTATGTATCAGTATGGGGGTTGTGGAGATTGTTAAGTTTTTTTTGGTTGAGATCATGAATTAATTGACGTTAGACACTAACACCATTGGATGCCGGCTCAGTGGTCTAATGGTTAAGTGCTCAGGCGCGAAGCCAGCAGGTCCTGGGTTCGAATCCCGCGGGGTGCGGGATCGTGGATGCGCACTGCTGAGGAGTCCCATACTAGGACGAAACGGCCGTCCAGTGCTTCCAGGTTTCCAACGGTGGTCTAACGTCAATTAATTCATGATCTCAACAAAAAAAAGAAATCAGTACAGATAAATTTTTCATACTAAGAAGTCTAATTACGGATTGGTTTGACCTTGGGTAGATGAAACATATCGTTAATTGGTCAGCTGACTTAATAATAATAGTAGACGAGAAAAACGTAGCTAAAAACTACTCTGAAAACAACGTAACCTTTTTCATATTTGACTTGGTAACTTCTTTTTTCAGAAGGAAACGTTTTTCAACGACAACTGAAATTCAAAATAAGGTATATTGATTAGTCACTGGAGAGTGGCCAACGTCATTTTTACCTAATTTTTGTGTTGATCAAATTCTAACAAAAAATTTGTAATGTAGCCTCTAGTCATTGTGACTTGAAAGGGCGCACACTACATCTTGATGTTAAGTTGCTGTTGGTATTCTACGAAATAATTTGGACCTAGATTTCGTGCATACCTGTAAACATAAACGAACTGATGCTATTAGAATTTAATAGCAATGTATCAGACTGAGAAACTGGATGACCCTGATCTGAATGCATTAGGGAGCATCAGTTTCATGAGGATCACAGGTATGTCTAGTTTAAGAGTGTCAACTAACACGAAACCTAGATCTATGATTTCCTGCCGACTACCTCAAACCATCTAACAGCTTTGTGAATTTTGAAACATTCTGTGATACTAATTATAAATATATATTGTTCCATGAGACGAAAGGCATATTATATTTGAAGATTCCACACGCGAAGAAAAATAAAACATATAAGACAGCAAATTAAATTACTCCAAATGCGTGTTAAAAGATTATTTTCAACAGTAATCCGTCAACATTCCATATATAACGTTGAATGGATTCGATAATGGAGGAAAATAGAGTGGAGATAAGGCTAATGAAGAAATGTTTGTGAATAAAACGTATTTAGATTAACACAACGTATAGCGTAAAGTTAAACTAAGCATTCACCACCGTATAATACACAAAGCTCTACGAATAATCTTTTATGATAACTCAAGGTAAACTTAAGCTATTATGTAATATCATAAATTTATGCAAGTTTTTTGATAGTCAATCTAAACGCTTGAGGGTGAAAGGGACCTAAAGTTGGTTTGATTTAATTGAATAGATTATATACTGATTTTCAGTATGGTGACATGAGACAATGCGACCGCGCATCAATTCAACCACTGTTCTAGTCAGTTATTAACATTGAAATACTTCGTACGAAACCAAGATACAATATTCAGTCAGTCAGTCAGTAACAACGTAGAACTTCTTACGTACGTACATCAGTTCGAGTTGCCACACCACATTAGCACACAGATGCAGTGGTCGATTCAAATACCGTAGTGGTAGAGGTAATAAGAGTATAAGCAGTAATCGGAAAGATTAGGGTTTGGAGATGTTATTTAAAGAGTATAATACAGTGAAATAAATTTGGGAAGAGAAAAAAAAGAGACAAGGAGGAATAAGGAGATCAAAATTTGGGAGAACACAAAGAGTGTATGCACCTGCGCCATTGCAAACGATTTTGAGCCATGTCATTCAGGGTCTCTAACCATCGGTTGCTATCATCTCGCGGTCCCCAACCAGGTAGTCTACACCTACCAACATGACTCAGACCACTTGTCAGTGACTTCATGGACTTGTGCCATGTTTTGGTCTGGCCGCCCCTAGCTTTCTTCCAACCTACTCCTATACCACTGAACATCACACGTCGAGGCAGTCGGTCGTTGGGCATACGTAACACGTGTCCCAGCCATCTCAACTGATGAAGTTTCACTACTTCATCAATTGATTTGCCATCCTTACCTAGTACCCGTTTCCTAACAACTGCATTACTTACTCGATGGTCCCAGGATATACGAGCAATATTTCGAAGACACCTATGATCAAATACTAGTAACCTACGAATATCCTCTACTCTTACCGGCCATGTTTCACTGCCATAAAGTAGGACGGAACGAACTGCTGCGCAGTAAACACGTCCTTTGGTTGATAGACGGATATCTCGCCTACGCCATAAATGACGCAAGTTGGTAAAAGCTAGTCGAGCCTTCTGTATCCGTGCTGAGATTTCGTCACACACCAGACCACAAGGGCTGATGAGACTTCCAAGATAAGTGAAGCGATCGACACGCTCAACTACTTCACTCCCTATCATTAGTTCGGGTGTCAATGCAACCCAATCCTGAAGCAACATTTTGCATTTCGAAGGGAGAATCGCATCCCGAACATGCTTGCATTGTTGCTTAGAGTGGTCAGAAGACTCTGCATTTTGTCAGCGTCTTCACCAAATAAAACTATGTCATCTGCATATTCTAAGTCAACAAGTGAACCTCCCGGTAGAAGTTCAACCCCTGGAAATTTAGATGAGGAAAGTGTTATCTCTAAAAGTACGTCGACACAAAGTTGAACAAGAATGGAGAGAGTGGACAGCCCTGACGAACACCACTTGAGGTAATCAATTCTGATGACAGTTCGCCATAAGCTCTCACTCTACCAGTTGTGTTCGAGTAGAGAGCCTTTATAAGGTTAATGTACTTCTTTGGTACTCCTTTCAGTGACAAACACTGCCATAGAACCTCACGATCAACAGAGTCGAATGCCGCCTTAAGGTCGAGAAATACTACCATTGTGGGGCGTCTGAATGTGTGTCTGTGTTCTAGAACCTGACGTAGTGTGAATATCTGATCTATACAACCACGTCCAGGTCGAAAACCAGCCTGATTTTCTCTAATCTGCTCTTCACGAGCTTTGTTAGGCGTCGAAGTATTATTGAAGCTAATATTTTAGACACTATATTAGTCAAACTGATTCCTCTGTGATTGTCACAAGAGGACTTTTGTCCTTTCTTATAGACTGGCACAATCAGTGATTGAGACCAGTCAGATGGGATTACGTCCAGTTCCCAAATTCTACCTAAGACCTCAGTTAATCTCACTGCTAATACTGGACCACCATCCTTAAAAATCTCAGGAGTAAACCTGTCAGGGCCTGCTGCTCTCCCTCGCTTCAGATTTCCTATGGCTTTTTCAACTTCGTAAAGGGACGGAGGACCTACATTAACTTGCCATTCAGGTTGACTGTAGATCGTGGGAAACCGAAGTGTGGCTGAAGGCCAGTTGAACTGATCCCTAAAGTGTTCTGCCCATCGATCCAATCTCCTGGATTGAGAATGTATAATATGTCCATCTTTCTCTGAGATTGTTTCGCTAACAGTCGGTTCCTAATTCCGGTTTCCTTAACAAGTCTGAACAATTGTCTGCTATTACCTATTGCCGCTGCCTTTTCCATCTCTCTTGCTTTCGCTACCCACCACTGTTCACGATCATTGCGTAGACTTCTTGTCAGCTTGCGCTTAAGCTGACTCCGCTCTTCATTATGTTCAGAGCCAGGTGGAATGAGTTTCCGAGCATCTATCAGTGCGATAGATGCTGCTGAGATCCAGTGTTGCTCCCTAACCTTACGGGTTACCTTACTAGCAGATATCACTGCTGTTTCCACAGCTTTTCGGATATCATTCCATGCTGCCTCGGGGTGGGCATCACATACATGGCTGCCTAACTCTTTTCCTAGTTGTTCCTGAAATATACTCTTAGCTTGACTATCATTAAGTAGGGCCCTAAGAGGTTTACTTGCAGCGTCTTTCCTACGTCCAGTAAGACGCAGACAGATACGCGCTCGTACTAGAGCATGATCTGAATCTAAGCATGTGCTCCACATTAAAAACCTTCCAGGAAAAGGCCGTGCGCGACCGGCCTCAAGCTGTTGTCTCTTGGGCTCTGCGGTTACGCTCCGTTCTTCAAAGGGCCTTACCGCCGGAGACGGAAATCCTTGAGATATGGTGAGGTGTGACATTTTTAGGGTCGACCTTTTCTAACCCCGTCCTTCCTTGTGAGAAGGTAGCATCGCTGCAGATGCTGGTTGTCCGAGGGAAACACCTTACTGCTGTCACACCTCTCTACAGTCAGCAGTACGACTTCGCTCTCAGACCTTGAGTTGCTGCTTTTAGTCTTACCGTTCTCCAATCGACCTGCCTGGTATGGTAGAACCTACAGGAACATATGTTCCAGCCAATATAGCTCGTTTGGTTCATTACGATAGGCAAGCCCGACCACCGCGTCAAGGTAGCAGCTTCGGTCGGGGATACAATATTCTGCATTTCCTAAAGAAGATTTGGATCTATTATGAAATCTGAGAATCTTTGAAAATTTCGAAAGAGATCCTGAAGTTCCACCATCAGAAATTTAAAGATTAAATAAACAGTGAGATTAACGTTAACATACTCTGATGGTATTGAATTACGATGCACTATGGTGGTCGAACACAGATTACCATAATAACAAGAATTAAATAAATGAACACAGAAATATCTTGCCAATAAATATAAAACGTTTTCTGGAATTAAATAATCAACGAACAATACTGTTAAAAAATGCATTTTTGAGGATAGTTCTTACACCGAAAATTTACATTACTTGGGAAACCAATAGGAACCAGAGACCGAGAGATAAGTATATTCGTCTAGTACGATACAAGGTACTGACAAAACAATATATCAAGAAAATACACAGCTTGCTTTTGTGTAAATCTTCACTACACAACAAAGAGTGAGCAATGTTTGGAGGCTTTGAAAGATATGGCCTGTGATGTATAGTATTGACACATATATTTATTCTTTGTTTCCCCTTAGATAATGTTTTAAGCTTATCTTATACTATTTTATTCTACGAATTCATTTCGTATAAAATTACATTGCTTGTGTCTCATGCTTTCTATTACCACTGATACTGTTCCTAATTTTACTATCCAAGCAATGATAATTTCATCTCGGTACCGTGTAATAATTTGAATCGATGCAAATGTTTCAGGTTCTATGCTGCTTATCACCTACTGAATGGTATAAAACTATAGTTTAGGACAGATCTATGTGATTTATTTCCTACTATAAGTCAATAATTGTAGAATATTTTCTGTCCGGTAGCAACTAGAAAAAATGAAAGAAAGAAAACCAGGCATAAAGTAGTTCGGTAAAAAAACCAATTAATAATAATAAAAGAATTTAAGTACTCACTTCAAGAGTTCTTTGTTTAGTTATGGGTAAAGTATCATCAAATTCTGGTGTAGATATTTTGCACGATAACAAAGCTGAAGGTATAGATGAATCATTATCCATTGAAAAATGTGATAAAAATAATGAGGATGGTATAGTATGCTGTTGCTTTGAGGATAATTGTTGAGATTTAACACGAAAAAGATCATAAACAGATTGTTTGTTCACAGAGAGTTCATCGGATTTTGCATTATTATTGTTGTTTATTGATTTTGATAAATGAGTTAGGCTTTTTGAATGCTTCCCTTTTCTATAATGATCTGAATCAAGATATGACAAATGTTTATTTGAGCTAATTTCTTTATTGCTGTTATACAGATTGCCGTCATCTGCGTAATTTTTATCATCATCATTGTCATCACCGTCAACTTCTGACAGACCAGTGATCAAAGAAATAGCACCTAATGATATCGCATCAGCTAAACTTTCTGGAGCTTCATCAGCAGCATTATCATACAGTTGATCTGATGGAATATCACTTTCCATGTCATCGATTAATTCACTTTGAACAATATCATCACTTATTATTGATGTTGTAATAACACAGTTTGTTCTATTATCCAATGATATCTCTTCAGGTTCAGTTGATACTACTGAATTGTTAGTTGTATGTATTGAATGATTATGATGATGAGATATGTCGAATGACTCCTATTTAATAGGGAAGAACAGGGAATTTAATAATTAGGGATTAATACAAAGGGAAAATACTGGCAATAATTGACAAAATGTATGATAATAATGGCAATAATAATAAAGTAATCTTATTTCATTAATATTCCCGTTAAATGTTGATTTAAAACTATTGATAGTTTGTTTCGCCCAGAAAATTATTTATATTTATATACGTGGAAAAAAAAGAAAACTCTGATGAAACGTTCCTCACAATAACAAGAATGGCTATCTGACCTTACACCTAAGTTCATCCAAAAAAATATAAAAGAAAAAAAAGGTTCAGAAATTTAGAGCTGAAATAAGGTAAGATATTTAAAATTAATTATTCATTGAAACGGAACAGAAAACATATATTTATGTATAAATGTCTAAATTCACTGGAGAATCACACCAAAATTACAACACACAATGCATACGCAAGTTTCACATCACAGCTATATAGTGCTACTTAGTTTTCATTATTTTTCATCTGATTGTCCCACATAAGCAACTGATCAAAAAATGAAATTAATGTGCCTCTACATTTGACTCCAAGTCCACTACATCTGTGCATTAAGCTGATTATTTGGTACTTCAACTTCAAGAAGATAAACTAGACTGCTCCTTCCATTTACTTCTCTACCAGTTAACTAGAGTGTAAGCTCCAGGTCTGCATATTCTCTCTTCTTGATAGAGATCTCAAAAATATCGAATTCCTATGGAATAAAATGATATGCTTATGTACAAAATATTAACACAGTATAAAAATGATGAAGTGTTATAGGCCGTATCGAAATCATTTGTTCTTAATTTACAAAAGGGTTTTTAAAACCATACGTTAAAAATATGTTACAAACTATGGCAAACGTGTAGCACTATTTGAATGAGTTCAAATGATATTAAAAAAAACTTCATATCTGCATCATATAACTCACTAAATCAGAGACAACACCACTAATGGACAGAATTTCTTTTTGATCATATTCATTCTCAATTTTTTTTCCAGTATCGATTTCATCAATATATTCATTGATCTCTTCTTGTTTTACCACATGCACTTCGTCGTCATCATTACATTCATTTTCTGAAAATACTTTGAAAAGATCCACAGGAATATGTGACGGTGACAGTTGTACAAATGTCACACTTTCTGAATTGTTATGACTAGATGTTCAATGTAAAAAAATAAAAAAATTTACAATCAATGTGTCCAGAGGTTTGTCAATATATGAAATAAGTATTTAGGTGCTTGATGGTATGAATTAATTTCATTTCCAAAACAGCCAGAAACACTTTCATTTTAAAAAAATTTAAGGACAATAACTGTTAAATCATTAACAATAAAATTTAATTATTAGAAAAAAAGGGAAGCTAGTAAAACGAAGTATTAAATGTGTAGTTTTAACACCTGATTATGTTACTCAGCCTGAATTGACAGTAACAAGTATGTAGGAAGCATCATACGCCTTTTTTTTCAATATATTTAATGGAGCTCCTGATTAATAATAAGAATTCTGGTAGTCGTTACAAGAAATGGTGACCGATGGCGCTCAACCATAAGGAGAGTGAGGCCGATATCCCCGACGGCACTTGATATTGATTTTATTATATTACGAGCTGACTGAAACGCAAAATGACAGATATCGGTTTATACATCTTTTGAGGCCGTTGATGAGCACTGCCAAAGAGTCGTAGAGCAATACAAAACAATTTTCTAGTGTTTTATGACTTTTAAAGATTCCTCGAATGATTTCCATTTGTGATAAAAACTAACAACAATGGCGAATAGTAAAAATAATGTGAACGCAAGTATCTGTTGACCTAGAGGAAGGATTAAGGAGACAATAGTGCAATCGTTATATCTTAACCACAGAACATTGATACAGAACATAGACACAACAATAGTTCTAAAAAACCCAGATAAGCCAAGGTTAAAAATCTATAAGGTAACTATCAGAGAAGTGACCAATGTAATCTAATATATTTTGTTAATTCATACCTAGATAATTAAAAAAATTACTCATTTGGTATATAACTTTCTAGAATGAGACAAGAAAATTAGCGATGAACGTAAGACAAAAAAGTTTAACATACAGGTGTAGAATTGCTACATTAACATATTCGTATGAATATTCACATAAAAAAGTGATTGATCTGTTTTTCTTCAAATGATTACCCGGCAAATATTTATTATTTATGAAGTCAGAAGAGATGAAAAAATATCAGTTGTGCTATAATGTTTCTCGAGTTTCAGTTTTTATTAAGTTTATTATACATCAATTTAGATAGAATTTTAGCTACTAATTTATAATAGGCAATATATATGTGAAGGAACTATATACACATAATTCCTTATTGAATTATACTGATAATAATTTGACAGTTTGTTGATAATGTTAAATTCTTAAATAAAATTTACTAGAAAGAAGTGATGTGTAAGATTGTTTACAGATTTAAATGTAGTTTTCACTCAGTTAATTTTTACATCAATTCAATGTTAATTTTACTGGATTAAAAAAATTCGTTTCGATTCATATTTCATTTAACTTTTGAAATAATTCAATATAATTTTTATTCAGTATACCATTCAGTTGTTTTAATTTCATGTATATGCCAAATTCTTTTACTAATATTTACGATTACGTTTATATATGAATGATTGATAATTTTCTTGCATCTCTATGAGCAAAACCTCTAGACAAGGTTGTACTTTTGTTTCTAGTTAGTGGGGAGGAAAAAAAACAAATACAAAGAAGTTGCGTTGATTAAAAGAGTCGAGAAATATAAACTTAAGTATTCACAACTGTATTACATTTGACAGAATAAATTGTACACTTATTCTCTTCAAGAATTATTTTGTAAAGTAACATTTTTCTTTATAATGTAGAGTGATTGTAGACGCTTGACAAAAGAAAATGTGAACAATATTAATTTAAACAAAAAAACAACAGTAAAACAGATTTTTAATACAATAATAATACTAACTTCTAAAAACGAATCTGAATATTGTATATAGTTCACCTACCTGACAAGATCACATATATCATCATTTGATTCGTTAACCTCTAGGAATTTAGTATTATGAATTATTTTATCAATATTTTCATGATAATCATTACTACCTTGTTCTTCTTGAATGTTATTTTTAAAAGCAGGAATTATTGTTTGTTGATTATCAATTCTGTATGCATATTGTTCCATATTATCAATAGATGTTGGATAATTTCCCATTCCGATATTTAAATCATGTTCTTTTTGATAAATATGATGTTTTTTAATTTCTGTTGTCTCATTAAATTGATTAATAGATGACATAAACGGAGAACGTATTTGACTTGTTAAAGTCTGAGAAAAAGTATGAAAATAAATTTGTAAGAAGAATGTTAATAATAAATGCTGATTAATTTATTATACCTTGAGTATATTTACGGAATTCGTTAAGTGCATCATTAGACGAGATGAAATGATTGAAAAACATGTGATATAACAGTTTACCAAGTTTTAGTATTTCAACAACAAATAATATATCTTTAAATTGGGTAAGGTCAAAAATATTCATTTGTAGAGTATCCGTTGCCATGTACTGGATTTGCAAGCGCACAACTTCGGATGCAATTGGTTAAAAACTGAGTTTTTTTTAATAACTAAGCCTCTTATTTCATTTGTATTTAAACATCGTAATGTATGTAAAATGTCTCCTGAGACATTATAATGATGGAACTCAGCAAGACATGAAAAATCATTTGAGATTAATAATGCATAATTTGAAAACAAAATCGTATGAAAAATGGTTAGAAAAATTCTAGCTATATTCCTAACTCCAAAAAGATTTTTTAGAGAAAAATAAACTATATAAAGAATCTTGCATAACTATGAATGAAATTTTGGAAGAGATTATTGGAGCGACCATACATTTGGAACTCGTACAGTATAAGAGATACTAAGATCCAAATTAAAGCACAGCAATTAAACTACACAGAGTACTGGACCATACACCTGTTTCCGTTTGACAGGTAGATAACTCATTAACCAATGGTCTTATGGTAATCTGAACAAAATCGGATAATCCAATTTCGATTACTAAATCTCAACGTTCGGAAATTTATTCTGGTATCAAACAATCTCCAAAGTGCCGTAACCCAATGTTATCATGATGAAAACTTTTCTTATGTTTTTTTAATGATCGTTTAGTATGCTTAGGAACTAACAGAAAAGCAATTATCTCGGATGTTTAAAGTGAACAGTAGGATTGATAACCACTATATATCCAGGTTAATAATCCAAAAATCGGTCAAGTTTAGGGTAAAGTACATCGTTTAAAGTTATAGGATGCGAATTTATTATGTTAAATATTGGAGAAACAATCAAGGCAACAAATGACTTCATTAAATTTGGTTACATTGGGAATCAGTTAAGTATGATACTGTTTTTATATGATTATACCTTTAATTGTTAAAAAAGAACAATTATATCTAACCTGTTTACGTTGTTTGGTAGAGATTACAGATATAGGTGATGTATCCTTTTCATCTGCACTCCAATCTAATTCACAAACATAAAGATTCGACAGATCACTTTTTGAGGTTAATAAAAATTGCGTATGATCTAACGGTTCATCGTCTGCTGACACTGGTCTAGGATAGGATTCCGAAGTTAAAGAACAAGAAGATGAACAGACTGACACATTTTCAGATGGCTTGAATATATTCACTGAATCTAAGTAAAAAAAAACAAGCAATAAATAACTAGTTCAGTTTCTAAAGCTTACATAATTTTAATTGGTAAACTGTAAAAAAAGGGGATCTGAGAATAAACCTTTCTTGCTGGTCCATATCAGTCGAAAACCTTTTAAGAGCTAAATTTACAATTTATCGAGTGAAATACTATTATCAATAATGAATATAGTTTGAAAAATTTTTAGGTAATGTCAATAACATTTCTATTCTCAGCAAAGAAGTTGTAGTTAACTGGAGATAGTTACTTACTGAAGCGACTAAGCAAGGAGAATATTTAATTTCTCCTTTAAAATTTTTAATTGAAATACCATGATGTATTTTACCAACCTTTACGAAATATTCCAGTACCACAGATACACAATAATGTAAAAGTTGAACTGTCAACATAGCTTTGTTTTTAAGTTTCAAAAAGAGAGAGAGCATGCTTTCTGGATAATCAGTGAGAGACATGATTGTCAGGTTAATTTCGTAAGAAACGTAGTGATTTGTAAAAAAGATGAAATAAATAATCAAAATCAACGATTTCCTCTTTGTGTACTGAGTGTTAGAGATAAAAGGAATTTTCTTTTCAAACTTATTAGAAAGTCTAAACAAAATTAAATTATTAACAAATTTTAATTTTTTAAACAACACTCGGCTTAGTTTCTGAAGTTAATCAAAAGTTAAGTGTGTCAAGTGATTGACCGACACCACATACACACAAACACACGCTTATGGTAAAATAATGTATTTGATGGTACTAATGGAATTAGAGTGTTGTTGAATTAGTAATATCTATTTTATGTGATAAAATGCTCTTGCATTCGGTCTTTCAATAAGTGACAGCCCTATACTACTGACTAGTTATAAATTAAGATAATTATAGTAACAAATATACTAATATGTTAATAAATATTAAGGTTAGGTATACTTTTCGGCATGTCAATTAAATAATAAATTATACACGAAATAATTTGACGAACTCTTTGAGTTGTAATTTGTGAGGGTAGATCGTTGATTGTAAAATTTACAATCAGACCAATCTAAAGCATTCACATCTTCCGATGCGGATGATTGTCTGCTGATAGTGCCCGAAAAATGACGAGGAACGTATGAATGTGTACTGAGTTTCCGTCTACAAGAAGACAATTGACGATCTATTGATGACGTACTGACCGCACGATTACTGCAAATAAAATACGACAGAAAGATCAGTAAGAAATAAATATTACATAAGCAATTGGTCGAATCATCGATAAAACTATAGTGAATTAAAATAAATAATCTCACTTCTTGTTACAGGAAAATCAACCGTAGGAAATCGCAATCGCTCAACAAATCAGAGTTCATGTCAGAAATCAAATGGTTGATATTCCAGTGCACTTACGATTAACTATCTTTACAGAGGAATATATTAAATTAGATATACATCGAACAAATTAAAAAAACACAGAAAACTCACCAATTCCATTTGAAACTACTTCTTTCTGGTAGAGTAGACGAGGCTCCAGGAATATTATTACTATCAAATGATAAAGATGAATATGGAATCAGTGAAGTGAATGAAAGACGAAATAGTTCAATGTGTTCACCACCACCAGTGATTGGAGTTTGCTGAGAAAGTAATTTTGTCAAAGCATGCGATTTTCTACGCATCGATGCTGTTCGAACATCAAAATATGGATTAAACTTTAAACTAGATGAGTTATATTCAGATGAAAAGCTAGAAAAGAAGAATATGAAATTTCTTTTAGTGACTTAGAAGAGTAAATGAACAACTTATATAAAACTCTACAGATCACTATTAAAAAAACTTAGTAATCTAAAAAAAATACTAATCAACTGTAAATGACACTTGGTTAAAAATGTATACTGAATTCCTACATTTGATAGGAAGAATCAAAAGTTATGGAACAGGGTATTTTGGTTTACAATCAATTATTATAAACTGTGGTTATAAGCAAACTATTAACATATTCCTCAAAACTATGAAAGATAGACAAACAGAAAAGTGTTACTGAATTCCTAGAATTTATATTATTAATTAGCATTGTTTGCTTGAACAGATATTAATGAAATATTGCATCGTTTTGAAAGCATTCAAGAACCTAAAACAAAAACATTCTATTACAAACACTACATGCAAATTTTATATAATGTTAAACAGCTTATACATATAAAATAACATGGTAGGAACAAGGGATGTACATAAAACGTTAAATAACAGTTCGCTCATAATTATATATCTGGTATGGTTTGTGACATGACTTACTTGATTTCGCAAAAGATTACAGTTTGGTCTTCTAATGAATATCATTTGGTGTTATTCAAAACAAGCATTTCGCGAGTTCCTAGGCGAATAGTTTTGGAAACTGAGTGAAATCATCAAATCTAACACGGTGTAAGCATACCTTCTTAAATAAGTAACTAAATAGCACAATTTAGAGGGCTGTCATGTTGGATACTGAAATACAAACAATGTATTCTGCAAGTTAGGTCGTGAATTCTGGTAACAATGATTTGCTACCGTGCACCTGTGTTTCAGTTGTGATATAATTCACTGGTGTGGATCCTTCTCTTTCATTAAATAGGTTAACTGATAAGAACTTTGTGAGGCATAGCAACTAATAGCAAAGTATCGTAATTACATTTAACGCATGACCTATATCACATAATTTAGTGCATTGATTTATAAGTGATTATTTAGCTTGATTGCTTTTCCGAAAATTATAACCCAGTTACGTAAAATATCCTCCCACTGAAAATTCATTAATAACTTAATTATGTTATAATTCTTGACAAAATGACAAAATGAATAAAATAGAACAATACCATCAGGACGAAAAGAAAATTAATTGAATTTCAACGCTTAATAAAAAATGGCATAAAGTGTCATTTAATTACTGTTTAATGGTTTAATTTGTCATTTTTCACAACACTAACGAATTACGATAAATGGGTCAACGTCAAGTGAAAATTATTTACATAATTAGGTAAGACAGCCATAATTTCTATACAACAAATTAATTCGGTGGAAAACTCCCCTAGAAACCGTATCCTTCATACTAACACGATAAACTGCAACAGTAACCATAGTATTAACGGGTACAAAAAGTTAAATATATCAAAAGTAATCCCCATTAGAATTTGTATTTATGTTTCACACATGTAATTTAAAAAATTGCAATTTTATTAGACTTACTATTAAAAATAAAGGTGGTCATTATTTAGTAGGAAGAAAAACTGACAAAATTTGTTGAGGATTTTACAGATGAATTAATTTGACAGAAAAATATACCTACTACATCTGGGAAAAAAATCAACTTACTGAGAATTAGATCCTGATCGATTCAAATGATTGACTCGTTTAACGGGAGTACTTAAATGAGAATCTTGAGAACTTTTGTATTACACATGTCAGAACTTATTTCATTGTTTTGTTTATGAGTTGATGCTTTTGAGTTTAATAGACCGTTCGCTTCACAACTAGCTGATCTATGAAGTTTTCCAAATGGTAAAGTGAAAATATTCGTAAATGAATGAGGAAATATGACAGAATTACGATGATTGGTTGTACCGCACTTCCTATTACCATATGGTGAGATAGAACGAAAAAATGTATGCTGTTCAATACATTTTTTCCAAAAGTTTTTACAACTATTACGTGTAGGAAATGAGAATTCTATGATGTCATTTCCGTAACTCTAAAATAAAAAAAATAAAAGGCATTGATTAAGTACAGATAAAGATTTTGTAAAACAAGACTAGTAGATCATTCCTTGTATTTTAGCTTAGAAACACTGTAAGTGTCGGACATGATTTCAAGAAAAATGAAAACTAGAAGTATATCTTTAATATTCGATAGTAATTTTAAATAATATTGATACAATCAAACCATACAATGAATCATGCTTAGCTTCGATTTCTTAAGTAATAGAAATAAATAATAATTTCTCCTTGGAAGATTTATTAAAGAGACCAGATAAGATTGCTTTAAGTGAGCAAGGGTAAGACAACCATAATAATTAGGTTAAAAGTGTAATAAAAAAGTATCTTCCGCCGTAGTTGGTATATAATACACGTATATCACGCTGAATTCTACAATATTTTTATGACTCAGTTTGTTCTAATGACTCAGGAAGATTGAGAATAGTTATTTGAAACAAAAACAGTTTCACATTTATGAAATTAAATTATATTTTCGGTAGAAATACCATCGTTCAAGCTATATAATGCCTAAATGTCGCATTATTCTAAATGCCAAAAAAAATTGAAAAGAAATATAAATTCATCAAGTTTTCATATCAAAAGATTTGTGCATGACTTCACATACACCTTTATTTATTTATTTGAACACATAAATATCGGTACAAAGGGGCACCGAACAAATGTGTGCCACACAAGTCACTTGATTTGTGTGTGGGCTATGATCCTGCTCGGGTGCCCAAACCGAAGCAGATGGTTTAATTAGGTGGTTACACCCGGAGCCTTCGACCTAAACGTCTGATCCACAAGGCAGTGGAGCAACGTAAGGAGATGCAGTCTCATGGTAGCCAGTGACCAACAGTTAGTTTATATGCCATTTGTTCCTCCAGGATCCTGGAGCCTATGTACACCATTGATTTGGAATCGGGGTTTTCCAACGCGTAGCCATGTGAGAGCGTTTCTAAAGGGAGAGCTGACTCTCCCCACCCACGGCCGTGAATGAAATAATTATTTTTTTTACTTCAAACTCTAATTTATTTATATTTTTTTGACTACAGATACCTCTGATTAGCAGAAATAATATTGATAATGATTTCAGTGATAATTTTATTCTACATTAGACGCACTAATTTAATTAAACATCTAGTGAACAAGCATTTGAAAAGAAAGTGATCAATCAATTGTGGAAAGAAAGTGTATAAATATGCTTAATCTAGCTAAGTAATTAAACCAAACTTTGTCATTTGTAAAAAAATTGAAAGTTAAGTTTTTTCACTTTTTTCTTCTAATCTACATCAATCATTTAATAATAATAATAATAATAATAATAATAATAATAATAATAATAATAATAATAATAATAGTCGTTTTTACGTTTTCACTCATAATCACATTTCTGATATTGTATATGTTTTCAAAAATTTTAATAATTCCCAACAATCTGCTTATCTTTGTTGCGGCTTATACTATCAATATATAATGAATATGGGTGAGACTATAATTTATGGACGACCTTTGAGCGACGCTAAACTGACCTTGAGAGTGCCCACCTAATAACTAGCATCACATGGGGGTTATAAACCTGTGTGAGGAACTAGAATTATGGTTTACGGCTGATGTTAAAGGTTAGGAATTAGATTTAGTGTTCTCATCACGAACTGACATGAGCTATAATGCCAAAACTTTATTTGGCCAAATGGATGAGTGGATTTCGCGCCCAAATCTGAGACCTGTTATCTTATACCTGATTGGTTCGTCCATCAAATATAGTCTCGCTGAAATTACATATAGTGTAAGATTACCAATAACCATAATAGTACAATAATTTCTGATTAAAATACAAGAAAAGTAATAAATTACTGCTCACATATGCTTCCATATGAAGTTTAATTAATAATTTACGACGTTTGAAACTAAGTTTACGAATCATTGACCAATTGAAGGTGTTCATACGAGAAAAATTCTCAAATATCATAATTCCGAAATGGTTAACTCCTAAATTTACTGGTTTGTCTTCTGTGTTCTGAAATAATAAGAATATATGAATAATTGGCTCATACATTATAAATGAGTGAATCATAAAGTGATTAAGAAATATAGCCTGGGATTTTATCGAAAAGACGAATCTTAAATCTTAGTGGAAAAAGTTTTGTCGAATGAACTCTTACAGGAAATGATTTTTCGTCAAAGTTTATTGATGGTAACTTGAAACCAAAACATCTATTTAAAAATACCCTTATAGTTCCAAAGAAAATGTTATATATGAACATTGAATTAAAAGTAGATGTTCTAACAGAGAAGCTGTAAAACGAGATATGTAGAGCTCTGAGAAAGAGCTTTAATGCAGCTGAGCTCCGAGTTGCTTTCTTTAGTAAAAGTCCTATTTAATGAAGAGCATTTACCAATTTACTTGCATTTGTTGGGTATCTTATGTTGGCAATACAAAGCGTGTACTTAATAAATCACTATGCGAGCATTATCACATATGGCTGTCCTAAGAGGAATACAAACCAATGAAAAACTCAACCACGAGAATCATCGGCCAAGATTATCTGTAACGTAAAGAAAACTGCCTTGAAGAAAGTTTGGAATCAAAATTTTGTGCACAGTTGTAGCTATACTAATTCACCAGCTTAAACCTGATCTCTATGGATAAAATGGTTATATTCAATCTCCTATTCTTTCATGATATTGACAACCCTTATAATTACAATATTTTCGATCTTCTTCTTTGTAAATTAGATAATTACCTTTTACGTTTATCCAACAAATTACGATTTATTATTAACTCAAACACTATTACACAACTTAGTCCATTGATGATTTTTGATTACTATGTTAAATGGTGCAACAGCCATATATTACTAAATTCTTGAAAACTCTGTTAATTTTAATTACTTTGTTAAGTGAAATTTATTCATAAACTATTATATTCAATACTTAAAATATTCTTATAATCTCTGAAAACTTAATTAAATGATCTAATATCGCTTTATTTTTTATAACCTTAAATATCCAATACTTTAAGACAATGAATAATTTTAGTTTAACGACGAAAAACTAGTTTCATTTATTAGAGATTACTACATGTCAAGATAACTATTAATAAGCTTTTACAGCTTAAGAAAACCATATCATTGACAAGAAAAATCTCTTCACTAGAACGTCTTCATTCTTTTGTTGATATTTAATGTAGAAAATTAAAAATTCTAATAAGAATGACAGATTTTACTGAAAGCATGTGAGGAAAAAGTATTACTTGTTAGAAACTAATAGAATTTTAAATCAATATTACAATAATTTTTAATTTTCTATAGAACTTTATATTGCCCCCCCTCCATTGAGTAAGTAACATTTTTTGGTGTATGCCATTTACATAAAGCTGCATTTCAGTACATAACATGGTATATTAAGAAACAGCAGCTCAGTCTAATAAACGCTCAATTTGCAGCTACTGCGTCTTTGGTTTAGACAGTCAAGAGTTACTTCCAACCAACGCACAATAAATGAATTTCAACACCTTCATTTGTTATAACTTTGCATCAATTTCGTAGAATACTAACCAACCTTATATTTGGTAGTTGTTAGACGTGCACTAGAAGATGAACATCACATCAAATTTGGAGCTTAATAACTCAAATTTCCTACATCCCAGTGGGAACCGATGGGCTGTAAAGCTACTCAAATCATCATTATTAGAATGAAAACTACTCATGTTTTACATTTGGAAGACCAAATGACATGCCTTAAAAATAAGCTGGTTAGTTAAGGAACCAAAATCGTTTATTTTACTTAAGTACAAAGATTTCTAAGTGCACATGTGCCAAGAGATAATAAAAGGCTTCATTAGGCAAACTCTCCTACATAGTAGCCGTGACAAAAAAGTATATACAATACACTCCACCCTACCTTTGCGGCATGTAAACGAATTCCATACAATTCGACTTTGCGAGCAGCATCTAAAAGACGATAATCGGCTTCCGATTTTGAAATTCCTCTACATCAAAAGTATGAGATATATTCATTTTACCAATTATTCAAAGGAAAAATGATTGGATTAAAAATCAAAACTTATATTTTTAAAGTAGTAAACTAAAACAAACTATCATTCAATCTTGCGACAACAAAATATTGACGAATAATGAACATTATCCTTGGTATACAACTATAGTTTGTTAACTGAATTCCAGAGATCCAGAAGTTGTACGACATACGATAAAATCGCTACTAAGTTATTGTATAAGCACTTACGACATTTACACATAGACGAACTTTAACAAATGTATTCGTGCGATTTATCATTTGAAACTGCATGCTTATACAATGAGAAAATGTCAGAGAAATGACTAGCTCATCTTTCTTATTAGAAGTGAGATATATTAGAGAATTTCACTTGAGGATTTTATGCACTTTTTCGTATTTTGATGACTATAAAGTAGTACGGTTTAGATTAATTATTTAAACAAGTCTAATAGTCAAAGAACTTGATTGCCGTCATCCTTGCGATGAAAAATTTGATATAATTAAATTTCAATTATTTACATAGCTAATGACATACATCGTCATGAATTTTGTCAGAATTTAAACGAACGTACCAATTGGCACTTTTGCTTAGAAGTTGAGTATAATTTACAACGATTATTTTGCCTGAATTCTGTACTATCTACCTCATTTCTTTTAAAGACTATTTCACTGGAAAAACGTCAGGTAAAATATAACCGGATGTTTAGTGAAACAGTAGGATTGAAAATATTCTTTTCTAAAGAAAACTTCACACGGATTTTTGGTTGCTAAACTATTGATTTTTTGTCAATCTTACCATTAAATAGATTAGGAAATTTGTTAATTGTTTGACATAAATAGACTAGATCGATGTTTAAAATTGTTAGGTAATTAATTAACTACAATTAGATAAAGTGATAAAACACAAAATAATGCTTTAAAAGACAAAAAATACTTACATCAACGTTTGATGCAGTTCCATAAGACGCATTAAGTACGAATCTGGTGCTGTTCTAAATAAATGATGCTTCTTTAAGTATGCATACGACCGACATTCTGACTCTTGAAAATCACCCAACTGGGCTGTTCAACAAAGATTTGAAAATGAAATGAATTATGCATTTTAATCAAGAAGCTAGCGCAGAATTATCTACATGAGGGCATCCAATGATTTGTAGCTTACTTTTTACCTTAACAATTATTCCTATATGCAACTGTAACTTAAAAAGTGAGTTATTTAAATGATTAGTAAGTGATGTCTGAGATGGTATCACAACGATTTAAATACAATATGTGAATCTCGAGTCACATAAAGTACTTAAGTCTTATGATGAATTGTTTTCAAAACATTTTGTTTTATTGTGCAATCGGAAGTAAAACGTAGGCTGATAGCTTATGAAGGCAAGTTTACACTTGACGTTTCAAACGACTTTTTTTTAAGATTATGTACTTTTAAACCTGGCTGGCGAATAATTCAACAAATACTAAATAATGCTTAATCCTATGTTTGAGTGACGAGGTGTGGTAAGTTAGGTGATTAGGCATCCATATCCATGATGCTCAAGTTTTTGATGGGATAACAACGATCCAGTACAGATATCCCCAACTATAAAATTCAATGTCGTAGATTGAAATTGATTGAAGGATACGTTTTTTCTTTGAAATCATAAACCGATCAGTGTTAGATTACCATTGAAAACCTGGGAGCACTGGACAGCAACTGCTTTCTAGTTTGTGACTGCTCAGCAGTTCGCACCCACTATCTCACATGCGTGAATTAAACCCAGCACCATCGGTGTCACGCGTGACAACTGAGCCGGCATCCAGAGACATTAATACCTAGCTTCGGTCAATCCATGACGCTGTGCGACCATCTTCTATTGTCTTCAGTGTGTAACTAGGATGAAACGGTTACTCAGTACCTCCACGTTTCCGATTATGTTCACACTTGGATCAGCTCATGATTTTAATAAAAACCAACAATTTTCACAAACCCTTAAAGACACGTCTTTTTATTAGAATCGTACACATATTTTGCTAATGGGTGATAATTAAACGCTTTTATAGACGAATCACATATTAAATAACAAAAATAATTGAAATTAATGAAGAATCACTGAATTTAGTAAACACATCAAATGGTATACTTAAGACCTTCATTAAGATAGCATTTACGCATTTCATTCACGTTGAAATTCCGAAAAAGGGATGCTTTACATGATGACTTTAAGAATGGTATTTCAAAACTAAATGGCTACGGATTCAACCCTTTGATAACTGTCAATTCATTTTAGTCTGAAGTATTAGTTATGTTTATCGAAAATTAAACGTCGGTGTAACCAGTTTTCAATGTTATCTTATAAGCATATACAACAATAAACTTACACTGTGCAATGAATGCTGCAAGCAAGAGACTGGTATTACGATTACTGTGTAACAAACCTTGAAAGAAGTCGTTCCTGATTTGTAGAGCATACAGGTACCTAGAAGATGATATAAATAGTGTAGCAAAATAATAACTCACACCGCTTTGGAAGGATATAACATGTATTTATCATTGAAAGTAATCACTCACCTTGTAAGGTCATCTTCTATTAGATTTGGATACGGAGTAAAAAATTTAACTCCAAACAAAAGCTCCAGAGGTCTTGTACTTGAATTTCTCAAGACCTTTGTAAGGGGTTTGTTGTTATCAACCCAGCACTAAAGTAATCCACAACAAGAATAAAAAACAGTGCAGATAATTCATGCAAAAACCACTCATTTAATAAAGAACATATAATTTCTTCATACTATTAGTTTGCTGTCACTTCAAAAGCTACTTAAATAGTGATAATCCAAAGGAACGATTGTGTACCGTAACACTGTTGCTCGACAGTGACCGTCTGGTTAATATCACAGTAATACGCCAGTTTCAAGTTGCCAAACTTCAGAATGGCGATAAAGGATAGATAATAAGTTTAGAAAACTAAAAACAAGGACAGATAAGTTGTTCAGTCCCCATTGGCTATCACGCTTCATTTTCCTAACGTCAAACCATGATAGAAAGTATACATAGTTTTTTTAAAAATCCACATAGAAGTCAAGTCTAGAATTAACACAAATATTAATTTTACAGTGTACTGGTTTAATTATTTTTGCAGCAATTTAGACCAAACTGAATGAGCATCGGACACTTAGCCATAACATGAGAAACATCTCTACCAAACAGATAAGAATTGAACTCATATGTTTCAACGTTTTGGTATGTTTGTCACATCTTACTCATGAAATATTGCAGTTGTGTGTCATTTATGAGGTTTTCAAGGGAGTAAAAAACGTATACAGTGGAATACTATATACTGACAAATGAACATTTACCCAGCAATACTCACCGACCAATACAATTAGTGACTTTTAAGGGATTCTATAGGCTTTGAAAACCATGTTTTCAATAAGCAGTAATTAAAATAGGATAAACACTCATGATCTGTTGAAAAACAATTTTTGGACAATAAAGGTACTTGCAAATAGTATTTAGAAGATCCAAAATACTAAAAAACTCACGCTGTTGCCTTCAAAATCAGAATATAGCAGCCCGAAGTACTCATTTTGAAAAGTACCAATCTTTTTAATGACTAAAGTAAATAAATCCAGACCCAAACATCGTTCCTAGATTAAATAAAACATGAGTCTGACAGAGAGATACAAAGTTGTCTTTGAATTTATTCTTTAGGTTTATAAATGCTTAAGTAGAATGAGAAAACGTAACTTTAAAATACCAATGGCGTAGGGGTATTCAACAGACAGCTTTCTGTAAAATGCTTATTGTGAAAAACAAAAAACTGTAAAATTCAGATAACTTATAATGATAAACTACTTATGGAAAATAGCATCAAATTTGTTACAACATATAACACATTAAGTGTGTTTTACCTAGCTGCTTCTGTAATCAGTGAAAAATTAAATAACCCATTGTTTCATTGAATAAAAATGAAGAACTTAGAGAAATATTTTTTTCTTTTCGACAAAATCATTTACTTAGACTGCATATCCGTATTTATAATTGCTTGGTAAATGTATAAGTTATGCATTACTGCTGAAACAAATTTGATGGCAATCACAGTAGTTTACATAGTTCATCAACCATGAAGTCACTTCAAGATAGTCAAATGTTAATCGCGCAACAACTTGAGGACTTTACGTGTAGATAACTATCTCTCAAAATTTTTAAACGTTATTGATGGAATTACATATAATAAATACCGTTGTGTTGTAGTGCATATTAAGTATGCAAAAAGCATAGGCTTTGTAAAAGAATTTTATGTCTTCCCGATACATTTCATTCTATTTTAGCTACCAATCGACAAACCTCAAAACGACAGAGTTATCTCGATTGTCGTCTCAAATATATTTTTACGTAAAATAAATTCTAAAAAAGTATTCACGTGAAACAGTTGATCGGTTCTCCTTAACACTCATCTATTCAAAAATCTATCACAGTTTCTATTGGAGAATGCAAATTCCAGTAAAAGGCTTCGATTTATTGTAGTAGTGTACAAAACTACATTAAGTGAATTAGGAAACAACCAGTACCACAACTAAAAACAGATCAAAACGCTGTCATTTCACAAAGATCACAAAAACGAAACTTCCACATCTTTTAAACCACATAAAAACGAAATGTAACAGTTTGGCATTAGCGTACGCAATGGTCAGATAAAGGAAATCTGACTTGACTTGCATGAAGAGGCAAAAATAGTTGTCCATGTCTACACCAAATATTCAAGTTTAAATGAATAGGTCAAAAAAAGGTGGTCCATAAATGGAAAAATTGAGAAATGAGTGAACCAATGTTTTTATTTACATATTAGACAGTCCTATGAAACTAAAGATGCTACAAGTATTCGGCGTTTGACGAAAACTTAACCCGTAACACTTTTTATAACCGGAACAAACCAACCTATTAAAATCAAAAGATGTGTGAAGTTTGCATCATTATAACGTCAGAAATCTCTCTTAGAAAAGTAACTCGTAAAGTTGGAGTGAAAAAATTAATAATGATATTACGAATGACAACTTCTAAAGGCACGAGTATTTTACAATATTTTGGAAAACACATGCTATTTTCCAGGATTGAAGTTACTATTCAAGTTACATAAGAATGATTTCTATAAGATTATTTCTTTCCTTTTAATTTTTCTATGAATCGCTCCACCTGAAAATAATAATATTTATAGAAAGATTTGCAGCTATGTTATGAGTTACAAATCATTCAAATTTTAATCTAATATTCTCCACTTAAGTAAAAATCTATTTATGGCTGACCATATAACGCATGGATTCAAATATTATTTGAGGACATTAGTAAGACCAAGGACTCTGAATGGTGTGATTTAGTATAATCATCAAAGTCACTGGATACTTTCCCGAAATTCCAGAAAAATGTAAATTACCAAGTGGTTTAAAATTGAAAAATTTGTTTCACTTTTGGTTGCAAATCAATTTTACTGTGTAGCGGTAAATAAATCCCTAAAATAAATAGCTCTGTAAGTTTTCGACATTGGATGCTGACCATATGTTTTAGTGGACTCATCTAGCTGAAGGCGCTCGGTCAGGCATCCGCACCAGATCACGTGTAGTAACGCCGTGCTCAACATCAACCACAATCGCTAGCCAGATTAGATCAGAGAATCCCGGTATATTGGTCATCGCCAAATATACTCTTCCGATCTCCTCGACTCTGTCTTTTGATTTCTCTTGGTGGGAACGAAATATCTTAGAAGGTGTTACTGGTAGAAGCGTTGTCAAACACTGAATACCTGTGACATCATCATTGGTGAGACCGTCGTGATCTGGTACACCTTATTGCAACTGTGAGTCTGTTCCTTTTTGGGATTTTTATATATCATTGCCTTATTTTTTATTTTTTTTAAACATTGTGATTTTTTTTCGTGTTTTTCTTGGATATATATATATATTTTCCCCTCGTTCATTATCGTACTTCATATTTCATCATGACTGAACAGACACCTAAAGTACTCAAGCTTAAGACCTTGTCCCCACCTTCGTTTCAACTGATGCCTTTCTGGCCCGACAACATCGAAGCCTGGTTTTGCTACGCAGAAGCCGACTTTTCCGAGCACGGCGTGATCGACACACGTGCACAATTCCTCGCAGTAGTCAAGGCACTGCCGCGGGAATTCAACAGGTACGTAACACCTAGTATGTTTACTAGTGATGTTTCCGATCCTTACGAAATCTTAAAACGCTCGATTCTTAAACGAGGAGACCTAACCGATCGACAAAGGTTAGATCAACTCTTCAACAATATCGACCTGCAACACGGTTCTGCGACGGACATGTTGCAACGGATGAGAGAGGTTATAGGCCCAAGAACTTTCGACGAAGGTCTATTCAAACAACTCTTCTTGTCAAAACTTCCCCAACAGGTGCAAGCAGTTCTGGTCTCGTTCCAGAACAACGCCTTAGACGAACTAGCTGTATCTGCCGACCGCATTCTAGAAATTACGAAACCTTCTACTACCGAGGTATTTTCAGTCAAAGAAAAGCCTCACACGACTCAGAATGACATAACCGACTTATGTCACACACTCACGCGTTATCTTAGTCTTCGTACCGACCGTAAGAGATCGCGCACACCACGTAGAAGCATTTCTCGTAAGCGATCTGTCTCTAGACCACGAGAGACAGATAACCCCGACTGGTGCTGGTATCATAACCAGTATGGAAAGTTTTCCAGAAATTGCAGAAAACCCTGCAATTTTCCCAACACGAAACCGACTGATTCGGGAAACTTCCAAGCCGGCACGCGTTAACGGCAACCGTAGCCGGCGAACAAAGCCGTCTGTTATTCGTCACAGATGTGACAACGAGAGTTCGCTACCTCGTCGACACTGGCGCAGAAGTTAGCGTTCTCCCAGCAAATCCTAACGACCGACTTCACGAATCGACCCTAAACTTACAGGCGGCAAACGGAAAACCGATCGCTACGTATGGCAAAAGGTACGTTTACCTTAACGTGGGTTTACGCAAACCCATCCACTGGATTTTCGTCGTTGCAGATGTTTCTATGCCAATCATTGGTATGGACCTTCTACAACACCACAATCTGATCATCGACACTCGCAAACGGAGGCTAGTAGACGGAAACACTAATTTGTCCGTTTGCGTAACTTCTTTTACTGGTTGTAGAGTATCCCCAGTCACAGTTAAACATATGATAGACCCACTCTATCAACCACTACTCGATAAGTACCCTGGGATACAACAAACGCAAACGAAACTACCGTGTGTAACCAGCAATGTTACACATCACATCACGACTACAGGACCACCTGTATTTTCTAAAGCACGACGACTAGCTCCTGAAAAGCTAAGGTTAGCGAAAAACGAATTCGATCACATGATGGACTTAGGAATCATACGACCGTCAAGTAGCCCATATGCATCTCCGTTGCACATGGTCCCTAAAAAGGACAGCAACGATTGGCGTCCAACTGGTGACTATCGGCGATTGAACGCGAAAACCATTCCCGATCGTTACCCGTTGCCTCACATTCACGATTTGACAGCTACCTTGAAAGGTACAACTGTCTTTTCGAAAATCGACTTGGTTAAAGCGTATAACCAAATCCCTATGGCTACTGACGACATACCGAAAACGGCTATCATAACTCCCTTCGGACTCTATGAATTTTTGCGAATGCCTTTCGGTCTAAGGAATGCTGCTCAAACATTCCAAAGATTCATAGACGACGTTTTTCGAGGTCTCAACTTCGTACACGCGTATGTTGACGACTGTCTAATCGCAAGTCCGGACAGAGAAACACATCTCAAGCATCTGGACCTTGTTTTCGAACGATTACAAAAACATGGCATAACTGTAAACGTTCAGAAATGCCAATTTGGAACCGACTCGTTAGACTTTCTGGGACACACTATCGATGCTCAAGGTATCCGACCCCTTAGAACCAAAGTGGCGGCCATTCTGGATTACCCAGAACCGACCACCGTCAAGCAATTACGCACGTTCAACGGCCTGGTAAGTTTCTATAGACGTTTCATACCCAGATGCGCATCACTTATGAAACCTCTGACCGACCAACTTCGTGGAAATGCGAAATCCATTAATTTGGACGACACCGCACGAAAAGCATTCTCCACAGTCAAGGAACTGATTGCTAAAGCAACAATGCTCGCACATCAGGACACCCGAGCACCCATTAGCATCGCAGTAGACGCATCCGACTCAGCAATCGGAGGAGTCTTACAACAATGGGTTAACAACTCCTGGCAACCCTTGGCATTTTTCTCTAGAAGGTTGCTAGACACCGAATCGAGGTACAGCACATTCGGTAGGGAACTCCTAGCTATGTATTGTGCTGTACGGCATTTCCAACACTATATCGAAGGCCGTGAATTCACTCTTTTCACGGACCATAAACCGCTCACTTTCTCGTTAAGCTCTCCTTCTGACAAGTACTCTCCCCGTGAGTCTCGACAACTGGACTACATTTCGCAGTTTACTTCAGATATTCAACACATCTCTGGAGCAAACAATGTAGTTGCAGACGCTTTATCTCGTATAACTTCCTTGAACAGTTTCCAAGGAATCGACCTTCTTAAACTCGCCGAGCTTCAAAAAGAAGACAGTGATCTTCAGCACGAGTTATCGTCCACAACACTTAAACTACGCATCAAACAGATGGGAACAGGTAAGGAAACCTTACTTTGTGACACATCTACAGGTAGGGATCGCCCAATCGTGCCGAAACATTATCGACGCAATGTCTTCAACACATTGCACAAACTTTCTCATCCAGGTGTTCGTGCAACCATCAAGCTTATAGCAGAACGATTTTGCTGGCCTGGCATGAATAAAGACGTGAGGGAGTGGGCACGCTCCTGTGTAAGCTGCCAAAAATCTAAGGTTATCAGACACAATAAATGTCCCTTAGGCTCGTTTAAAACTCCCGATGCTCGTTTCGACCATGTTCATCTGGATTTGGTAGGACCTTTACCAGATTCAAATGGATACTCTTATCTCTTAACCTGCGTAGACCGTTTCACTCGATGGCCAGAAGCAGTACCTATCAAGGACAGCACTGCTGAAACAGTGGCCCGCACATTCGTCGAACGATGGGTAGCAAACTTCGGTTGCCCTTCAACCATCACTACAGACCGCGGACGTCAGTTTGAATCTGATCTTTTCCGTCGTCTGACCACACTTTTAGGAATCACTCGCTTCCGAACGACCGCCTACCATCCCCAAGCAAACGGGTTGGTAGAACGTTTTCACCGACAACTGAAAGCTTCGCTATCAGCTGCAAACGTTTCACAATGGACCGACGCTCTTCCACTCGTCTTACTAGGTATCCGCAATGCAGTGAAAGCTGACATTGGATACACTGCGGCTCAACTCGTTTATGGAACGACACTTCGACTTCCAGGAGAATTCGTGGATCCTTCGTGCTCTTCGATGAACATGGATCTAACCTCCTACACGAACAGGCTTACAAACGCAATGCGTTCAGTTAAACCTGCTTCCACTCGACCTCAATCAACTGATGTTTTCGTTCAACCTGACTTACCATATAGTACACACGTTTTCATTCGTCGAGACTCGCATCGACGACCATTCGAATCAGCATACGAAGGACCCTTCAAAGTTCTTCAACGTGAATCTAAGTACTATATAGTCGATAAGAACGGAACCAACGATAGCATCAGCATCGATCGCTTAAAAGCAGCGTATTTAGAAGGAAATCCTATCCACGTCGATTTTCCTTCGGTACAATCGAACGACACGACTCAGACACTAATAATACCTCATCCGACAACCAACGCACACGAAGATACTTCGACAGTATCCGAAAATAAACTTAAAACGACGCGTTCTGGAAGAAGGGTGAGATTTCCAGAACATTTAAACGACTATTGCACGTAAGGCACTTCTCGACATTTTATATTATTTTTTTTTTGAAAAAAAAAACAATTTTAATATGCTTATATATTTTTATTTCTATTAAAAAAAACAAAAAAAAAACAATTTTTTAACGCTATTACGTGCTCATGAGTTTATTTTCCATTTTTTTTCCGCCGACCTTGTTTTTTTACGCATATACGAGTGTATTTCGACATGCACTTACATTTTCTTTTTTCTTTTCCAGGACGGCTGGAAAAGAACGATGACGTTTATGAGGATCCGAAATTTTCATTGTACATTTTCTTTTTTTTACTATGTTGTACCTCCGTCCCATATAGTAAGGAAAGACGACCAGACGCTGCTAAATTTAGTAAGCTATCAGAAGAGTGTTTACCAACGACAAACTCGTTGGGTTTAAACTTCTGGCTGGCCACGTCTTAGGGTCGTCACTGCCCCACTAGGGGGGGAGTGATCTGTAGCGGTAAATAAATCCCTAAAATAAATAGCTCTGTAAGTTTTCGACATTGGATGCTGACCATATGTTTTAGTGGACTCATCTAGCTGAAGGCGCTCGGTCAGGCATCCGCACCAGATCACGTGTAGTAACGCCGTGCTCAACATCAACCACAATCGCTAGCCAGATTAGATCAGAGAATCCCGGTATATTGGTCATCGCCAAATATACTCTTCCGATCTCCTCGACTCTGTCTTTTGATTTCTCTTGGTGGGAACGAAATATCTTAGAAGGTGTTACTGGTAGAAGCGTTGTCAAACACTGAATACCTGTGACATCATCAACTGTTTAGTTCGAGCGCATTATGAACACTTGCTGAGTTGTGAATCAACATCTATTCTGTTTCTGTTTTAGAATCTCACATATGCACCTGATTACCCTCCCAATAACGACATACAAGCTCGGCGAAAAACCCTAGTGATTGTAAGTTAACAATAGTAATAGGAGGAACTGATTTTTGACCGAAAGAGGAGCCTAGATAAGCAAAGGACTGTCGTCAGATAATTTAACGAACGACAAGACGGAATTTGGAATTAGGTGCCATGAGTAGACCTATGATCCATTAACATTAAAAATTACTTGTGATAGAATTTTGGTGACAAATAAACGTTATCACGCCCAAATCTAAAGCTAAAAAACATTTTCAGTAGTTAAATTATTAAAGCCTTGATTGCTTTGATATTGGGTGTGTTTTACATGTGTAGCACTGCAATACATGAACACATTGTGTGGTTTTGAGCAAATGTCTTGATGATAGTGGAACTTCAGCAGGTTTTAAATTACATTTTCAGTCACATACAAGAGGTCTTTATGTTCAGTAGGCTGATATGACAAGCTGAAGTTTAAATGGCATTAGACCAAGAAGGTGCAACTTATAAAACGAATACAGCGTACGGTTTCATACAGCTTAGAGTCTTTATATGACACTAATTAACAATAAAAACTACCTTCAAAACAAATTTGGCCTGTTTAAACTTGAGGTTATAGTGAGCCAATCGTTTAGGTAAACTGAAAAAGCCACGCGGGGAAAAGTCTGTTTTGTAAAAATAACATTGAAGACGTTAATATATCCCAAGTCATTATATTGCATAAATAATTATTGATATAAACTCACAGATAAACAGAATTTTTCAGTACCACCATCCAACAAAATAACATGCACATCTGCCAATGTATTTTGGGTATTTTCTTTACTTTTTTCGTGGTCCTGCATAATATCTAAAGTCTAACTCCAACTGATTGTCGAATTAACTGTTTGACCGACATTTGTCATTCCGCTTTAATTAGTTGATGAAGTTGATATATTTAAACTAATAAATGCTTCATACTATCAGTTGAGATAAGAAGTAGAATAAGTTCTGAAAAACTTCTATTGACCTTATTTTCAAACGTTCTACAATTGTATGAGAGATTAGTAAGTTTACTTTTCGTAGATTGAAGGTTCATTATGAGGAATCCACTTTGTAATCAAGGATTATATCTCGAAATCATTAACATTAGGGTTCACATTTCCCTAAAGCTTAGCAGGCCAAATTTCTAAAGCGTCCATATTCTATGAACCATACTAGCTCTTCATATTTTAAGAATTTTAGCACGAGTGTTTATAGCTTAAACGCATCATCCGTTTTTATTGTAGAGATAGCAAAAACCTAGTATGAATGGGTATTCTTGCGTGCAGACGCTGAATTGGGGGCAAAGAATTTAACTGCATTTTCATTCATATATCATGAGAGAACGTATCGGAACTCAAGCATTAAATATGACACAAGTATTCGGATTTTGACAACACTTCGATTTTACTATGATTAACTCATTTTTTAAGTAATTATCATGCTGTAGTTTGGTAGTTGTTATCATAACTTTTAACCTCTTTGTTAATTCTGTTGTTGTATTCAGTGTATTATAACACCAGTGGGATAGAACAAACCAACTTCCAGCTGAAGAGAAAATTATGAAATGACGTTCGAAGTGTATAGGACATGCATTACAAAAATTCCTTAACTGCATACGAGGCAAGAGCTAAATTGGAATCTTGAAGGAAAATGGAAAAGAGGGAAACTAATGTACACATTGCATAGAGAATTCGGAGCATACATGAAAAGGGTTAATAGAAACTGGAAAAATTTAAGAGGTTTGCCCGGGATAGAGTTGGATAGAGAATGCTGATGAGCGTCTTGTGCTCCTCAACGAGGAGTAACAGGCGTTAATAAGTAAGTAAAGGATAAAATCACGATTACCTGGGATATGTGGTTCAACGTGTCCTTGTGATAACTGGAAGTATTTGAATTAGGGTGCTTTTAAACTCAACTCAACTTTATAAATGTGGCATTCAGCTTAGCAACCAATCAGAATGAGGCGGGAATTATTATATCCACCATCTTTGTAAGCAATGGCGGTCGGTTTTCTTCGTTCTGTGCTTTTTTCAGCTATTTTTTGTGTATTTATGTAATCTAATGTTTCAGTGTGCTAAAATGCCGCAGTTAGTGTAATGTTCTGTATGTTTGTGTGAAATTTACTCCGAATGAGCATTGGGTTTTGGGTTTTTGCTGCTTCTACTCAAGTCAATGTATTTCTTCAGCCAAGCTGGCTAGCCTTATGTTTTAAAATGGTAATGGGTTTTGTATTGGCTTGTTTTCTAGATATCCAAAGCTGAAGTTCGTTTTTTTAGCTAAAATAATTGTTGCTGAAACCTGTGACCAACTGTCCGCATGTTCGTTCCTAACTGTCCTTTATTATGTTATCGGCGAAATGAAAGAAAACAACCTCGGGTTTTTAATTTTCTTCATTATTATGGTCAACACTATCCCGCCACCGAGTCAAACTAATACTTAGTACCAAGCAGTAGGGGATATCAGTATTGTTTTTGAAAAAACCCAGACTTCCGACAACCATAGATGAAGTCACAGATACTACCAATCTGTTGCAGAGGGTTTGTTATAAAAAATATGTCATATAGCAGTGATAGAGGGGTTGTACTCGTTAAGTAGTGCGTTTAAAGCAAGCTTAACATTGAAAAACCGGAAATCTGCTATCAGTGTGTAGTGTATGTTTGCTGTTTTGGCCATAAAAGGAAGCCGAAGGGTCATAATCAGGGAGTAAAAAGGTAATTAACTGTTATTAAGCTAACTGTTTTATAAATCATATTTCACCCTCTCAACTCTGTGTTTTTTTACGGTATGACGTCAACCGCTACCTAATATGTTCACCCTTACGATGAAAAGTACCTGCAAAATTTCACCTTCATATTCGAATTATTTTTGGAGAACTGTCTTCCAGTTTGAGTGCTTCGTACTCCCTGGTTGACTAGATTCTTACATTATTCGTAGTTCCAGTATAATTTTCTCACGCAGTAAGTTCAAAGTAGACACTAGTCTTTCTAAATAAGCCTGTTAAGCTAACATCCGTATTCTCTATTTCAGTTAATCGATGAAGACATGTACCACATGGATCTGCTGCATACTGCCATTTTACTCCAATTCTAACTGCTATATCTTACTTCTGAAAAATAAAATTGCTATATGCAGCAAATACAGACTTATATGTTCATGGCTTCATGGGATTTTTAGCACGATTGTAGTAATATTCTCACTAAAGAGCTAAGTGAGTTCGTAGACCAATGTAAGGTACCATACAGGGTGCCTTTGAGTTACTCGTGTTCCATTAGTGTCGGCAGAGGCATTACTTGCTTATCATATGACATTTGAATAAGAAGCTATGAGATTAGACGCAGGGACGATTAGGATGTGTAACGCGTGTCTATCCATCAGCTGCCGTGGCAACTCATGGTGACTAGAATAAGTTGTGAGAGGACACGAGTCTGTGAGTTTCCCAAGAAGATGACGAAGATATGCACCAAATCACCTTATGGAGAGCGCCCCCAATCACTTAACCTCTACCCATTAGAGTATAGACGTCTTAGAGGTGACCTTCTAATGGCTTACAGTATCTTTAACACTTCTGGACATCCTCCTAAACACCTACTTAAGCTTAGTCCCAGCACTAACCTAAGGGGTAACACCCAGAAACTGGCGAGACAACATAGCAGAACGGACCGTAGACACAAATTCTACGCCCTGGGAGTTGTCAAATGCTGGGATTTGCTGCTGAGCGAGCTAGTCCAAGCAACTTCCAGGAGTCCTCCGAGAGGCAACTGGATCTATTCTTAAGGATTAATGATATTATCATACAATGATTTACCATTTTCTGTTTCCTCTTTTATCGTTAATATACCTAGGTTCCCGCCTGGAGTTATTCGTGACTCCCTGATACTGGACACGGAAGCCTGTTAAGCGAAAGCTTCTTCTATTCCATCCACAACCATTTGAAAACATGAACTAGGTGCTGACTGGCTCGTGTACCACAAGTTCCTTGCAACGATTAAGTAGATAAAACAAAGTAGCATTAGAGTCAAGGATTTATTCAAGAACTTTCATCAAGAATCGAATATAAAACAAAGGTTTAAACCAAGTTCCCGTTTAAAAGTTGTATTGGTAATGTCATGCTGCAGTTTTTGTTGTCTTTTTCCAAAAGAAGGGTAAAAGAAGTAAGTCGAAAAATACTGGAAGTGGTTGTGAGACTAAAATGGACGTCCAACATTTTTTTATAATCTGCTGTTAGTTGGATCTCCCGTAAACAGTTCCATAGGGCCATAGTTTTAAGGGCGAAACAGTTTTTTGGATCTGTGAAGACTCAATAAATGAAAAAAATAGTGATGAATTTGTCAGAAATGTGGATTAGATAAATAACCAAATTACATGTTCTTTAGCAAAGAATTTATACAGCTGTGATTTACCTTGAGTTCATGAATATTAGATCAGGTCAGCTACTATTACTTGCGCTAAGCATAACATGGGCTTAGTACCGTATTGCAATGCTTTTATTATTTTGCTCCCATTTAAGTATTCCTATGCATCTGCGTCTAGTTTAACAGGAAGACATACAAGCAGCGTTAGTGCCTGGTGAGCTAAAAATATTAGTTGTCCACAAGATTCCTAACATTTGTCCACAGCCAGCTGCATTTATTCGAGACACAGAACACTCATCATCCAAGACTGTATACTGCTGTTTTGCAGGCAAATAAAAGCTCAGACGTTTAGCTATCCTGATACCTATGTTATTCCTGGGGAAAATGTTAGATGACAGTGATCATGAAATATGGTCAGTGATAGATGTACAGTCTAGAAATAAACAACAAACATACTTATCGCTATCTTATAATGTATGACAGCAACAGCATCAAAGGCACGTTTTTTCCTATTTTTAATCAGACTGATTTGAATCAGTATACTCCTCAGAAACGGGCAACTCTACTTACTAAACTGGTCTGTTTCGTTACAGGCATAGTATATCGTATAGTATATCGTAAAACGAAAGATCGAGATAATATATATGCCAAGTAGTGCCTTACGTGCAGTAGTCATTTAAATGTTCTGGAAATCTTACTCTTCTTCCAGAACACGCCGTCTTAAGTTTATTTTCTGATAATATTCAAGTATCATCGTGTGTGTTGCCTGTCGGTTGGTGTATTATAAGCGTAGGAGTCGTGTCGTTCGATTGTACCGAAGGAAAGTCGACATGAATAGGATTTCCTTCTAAATACGCTGCTTTTAAGCGATTGATGCTGATGCTATCGCTGGTTCCGTTCTTATCGACTATATAGTGCTTAGATTCACGTTGAAGAACTTTGAAAGGTCCTTCGCACGCTGATTCGAATGGTCGTCGATGCGAGTCTCGACGAACGAAAACGTGTGTACTATATCGTAGGTCAGGTTGAACGAATACATCGGTTGATTGTGGGCGAGTGGAAGCAGGTTTAACTGAACGCATTGCGTTTGTAAGCCTGTTAGTGTAGGAGGTTAGATCCATGTTCATTGAAGAGGACGAAGGATCCACGAATTCTCCTGGAAGCCAAAGTGTCGTTCGTAAAAGTCCTACCAAATGCAGATGAACATGGTCGAAACGAGCATCGGGAGTTTTAAACGAGCCTAAGGGACATTTATTGTGTCTGATAACCTTAGATTTTTGGCAGCTTACACAGGAGCGTGCCCACTCCCTCACGTCTTTATTCATGCCAGGCCAGCAAAATCGTTCTGCTATAAGCTTGATGGTTGCACGAACACCTGGATGAGAAAGTTTGTGCAATGTGTTGAAGACATTGCGTCGATAATGTTTCGGCACGATTGGGCGATCCCTACCTGTAGATGTGTCACAAAG